GTGCAGGGATTACAAGCCTGAGCTACCGCGCCCAGCCTTGGACATTTTTCCTTATCCTCACATTGTTCCCTTCATCTGTAACACAGCTTCACAGCATTGCTGGGTCAAAAGTATCCAACTGAAAAGACCCAAATCAACTGTCACTTGAAAGTCTTTAATGACTAACTCCCCAACACCCAAATTAATCTTTCTTGTCTCTGTGCATTAGCATAACCTTTATTTGTGTATGTTTTCTCATCTCCTGGACTATAATTTCCTTAGGCTGGTAGAGTTGAACCAGTATGGTCTTAGGAGTGACACTGATCTGGGTTCCAAATCGGGTCCCAATTTATTCTTCCTAAACTTCCTATTTCCCACTGATCCGTCTAGGATAATCATGTCAATTTCGAAGGGCTGTTGGGAGGTTTACTTAAAAAAATTTTTTTAAGGCCGGGCGCGGTGGCTCAAGCCTGTAATCCCAGCACTTTGGGAGGCCGAGACGGGCGGATCACGAGGTCAGGAGATCGAGACCATCCTGGCGAACACGGTGAAACCCCGTCTCTACTAAAAAAATACAAAAAAAACTAGCCGGGCGAGGTGGCGGGCGCCTGTTAGTCCCAGCTACTCGGGAGGCTGAGGCAGGAGAATGGCGTAAACCCGGGAGGCAGAGCTTGCAGTGAGCTGAGATCCGGCCACTGCACTCCAGCCTGGGCGACAGAGCAAGACTCCGTCTCAAAAAAAAAAAAAAAAAAAAAAAAAAAAAAAAAATTTTTTTTAAAGAGACAGCGTCGTCTCCCTATGTTGCCTAGGTTGGTCTGGTCTCCTGGGTTCAAGGGATAGTCCCACCTGGGATTACAGGTGTGAGCTGCGGAGCCACGCCCTGTTGTAAGGTTTAGATGACAAACTATAGGTACTCAAAGTTTACTTTGTGGCTGATGGGCATTATCAACAGAATTATCAACAGCAGCATTTATTCAGTGACGGCTACCTACTTAGTGCCACTGCCAAACGCTGGAGCCAAAAAGCAAACAAAGCTGCCCTGGAGAAATACAATGTTTCCATCAAGTTTATGGATACAGGGAAAAGCAGAGCACATCTGTCAGGACATACCCAGGCTGGGTGTAGACAGAACAGCAGCTACAAGAACAAACAAAACAATCCCATCAGCACGTGCAGTCCGTGCCGGCTCGGGGGTGTGCCCTGGGAAGAGAGTAAAGCTCTTTCCTATTGGCGATTTGGAGCGTGACATCAAGACCACCCCTTGCAAAGGACGGACCAATGGGCCTCGGCGGGGAGGACCCAACGGCGACAGTTGAGGGCTTAACAGGATCCCCGTTTAGACACAACCTGCTGTCATTTGTCGCCCCCTCCCGCCAGCTTTTTAATAAAAGAAAATTCCCGGCCGGGCGCGGTGGCTCAAGCCTGTAATCTTGGCACTTTGGGAGGCCGAGGCGGGCAGATCACTTGAGGCCAGGAGTTCGAGACCTGTCTGACCAACATGGTGAAACCCCGTCTCTACTAAAAATACAAAAATCAGCCGGGCGTGGTTGCGCGCGCCCGTAATCCCAGCTACCCAGAAGGCTGAGGCAAGAGAATCGCTTGAACCCGGGAGGCGGAGGTTGCAGTGAGCCGAGATCGCTCTACTGCACTCAGGCCTGGGCGACAGAGCGAGACTCCGTCTCAAAAACGAAAAAAAGAAAATTCTCTTTTGCACAAATTATTTCCGAGCCGCAAGTCGCAGAATCAGAAGAGCGGAGTTCTTGCCTGGCCCCAGCGTGACTTTGGGATTTCACTTTCTCCCTTCTGCGCTTCGGTCACCTTACTTTAAAGAATGCGCACAATTGCTCCGCCTTGGGCCAATAACATGCCTCGCCAATTAGACCGTAAACTCAGCGTGGCGATTATCAGGAACCTCGGGCCGCTGCAGGGTGTGGCAAGCGATCCTGGCGGGCAGACGCCCCGAGGTCCCCCTCCAACGTTTTTGGAAGCGACACCTCCTCCTTCCCGCCCTAGAGAGCCCCTGGAGCGAATGGCTCTGACCCTGACCCCCGAAAGGGCGCAGGCGAGGCCCAAGGACCGGCTGTGCGGACGTGGGGCTCTCGGGAAGGGATAGCGCGGTTGGCCAAGCTGGGGTCCGAATCCCGCGGCCAGGAGTGGGGATGCTCAGGACTCGGGCCTGCGTGAGGAGAGGCCCCGCGCGCCTCCTGTGACCCGGCCGGGGAGGCTCTGCAGAAGGGATTCCCCCTCCGTTTTCACGTCACGCCCCGAAATCAAGCCCGGGTCGCCCCCTCAGCACACCCCAGCCGTGTCGCGGCTTACCATTCCACTCGTCCCGGGCCAACCGAGCCATTATTCCCAGCCCGGACGCCCGCGGGAGCAAAGGAAGAAGTAGAGGCTTCGCTACCGGAAGTAACAAGACGGACTGCGGGGAGAGTGCCCCGGACCCGCGACCATAGAGGAGAGGCCGCTCTCCTTTCAGAACCTCCCTCAACCCCGCGACCTCCGCGCTGCCTAGAGCGGCCACTCCCAGCTGGAAGAAGTGGGCGCATGCGTAACATCGCCGGTCCCGCCCCTTCCTTTTCACCCACATACCAAGTACCCGGGAGTGTCAGTGTCTTTTCCTGCTGGGCGGCTGTTTTTGTATCCGGAGGATACAAGCTTTGCCTAGAAATTAAAATAATATTACAAGACCGCACTGTACTCTCTACAGTTATTTTTTTGCCTTCACATTTTGTGTAGAAAATCACAGGACTATAAGTTCAATTTGCGGTGTTAAGAATCGGAATTAAATGACTTTTATTTATATTACAATTTTTTTTCGTAGAGATGGGGTCTTGCTATGTTTTCCAGGCTGGTCTTGAACATCTGGCCTCAAGGGGTCCTCCTGCCTCAGCCTTCCAAAGTGCTGAGATTACAGGCGTGAGCCACCTCGTACAGCTTGAAATGATTTTCTTATCACCACATTTCGCCCCTTCCCAGCGTCTAGGTCACAGCGTCTAGAATTTATGCTGATTATCTGGTTTTGTTTTGTTGTTGTTACTTGTTTTTGAGACAGAGTCTCGCTCTGTCGCCCTCCAGACTGACGTACAGTGGCACGATCTCGGCTCACTGCACCCTCCGCCTCCTGGGTTCAAGCGATTCTCCCACCTCAGCCTCCTGTATAGTTGGGACTACAGGCGTGCACAACCACGCCTGGCTCATTTTAGAATTTCATTTTATTTTTATAGAGACATGTTCTCGCTCTGTTTCCCAGGCTGGTCTGGAACACCTGGGCTCAGGTGATCCTCCTGCCTCAGCCCCCGAAAACTCTGGGATTACAGGTGTGAGTCATGGCGCCAGGCCCCCATTAAACAGTGATTTATACAGAGTTATTAATACGGTACTTCCCAGTTCACATTGATTAGCACCACTGAGCCTCAATACAATCCCAGGATATTGAGGTTTAGGATGGTTTAATACATTCCAGAACTAATAAGTGACTGAGATAGATTTTGAAAATAGGTCTTCTAATCAATTTTCTTTTTGTTTGTTTGTTTGTTTATTTTGGAGACGGAGTCTCACTCTGTCGCCCAGGTTGGAGTGCAATGGCTCACTGCAACCTCCGCCTCCCGGGTTTAAGCAATTCTCCTGCCTCAGCCTCCCGAGTACCTGGGGCTACAGGCGTGTGCCGCCACGCCAGGCTAATTTTTTGTGTTTTAGTAGAGACGGGGTTTCACCGTGTTGCCCAGGCAGGTCTCGAGCTCCTGGCCTCAAGCAATCCGCTTGCCTCGGCCTCCCAAAGTGCCAGGATCACAGGCGTGAGCCACCGCACCCGGCCCTAACCACTTTTTCATAGTTGGCTTTTGTGAAAGACCAACTTGAATGTATTCATTCAACCCATGCTTATTGAGCGTCTACTATGTGTCAGCCTAGTGCTAGGCATTGGAGAACAGCAACTCTAAACCAACATTCAATTCCATTAGTCCCGGCCCTCATGTGTTGCAGTCGACATAGTATTCCCAGAGGCTAATGCAGTAACTAAGAGTCTCAGCTTTGCTTTCCCTGATCACCTAAGTAACAACCCCCAATATTCTTTTAATTTAATTAAATTTTTTTTTTGAAAAGAAGTCTCGTTCTGTCGCCCAAGCTGGAGTGCAGTGGCGTGATCTTGGCTCACAGCAACCTCCATCTCCCGGGTTCAAGCGATTGTCCCGCCTCAGCCTCCGGAGTAGCTGGGATTACAGGCGTGCACCACTGCACCCGGCTAATTTTTTGTATTTTTAGTAGAGACGGGGTTTCACCATTTTGGCCAGGCTGCTCTTGAACTCCTGACCTCAGGTAATCTGCCCGCCTCGGCCTCCCAAAGCGCTAGGATTACAGGCGTGAGTCACCAAGCTCGGCCAATTTTTGTAATTTTAGGAGAGACAGGGTTTCACTATGTTGGCCAGGCTGGTGTCAAACTCCTGACCTCCTGACCCACCCGCCTTGACCTCCCAGAGTGCTGGGATTACAGGCGTGAGCCACCGGCCCGGCCTAATTTTGTTTTTTTTTTAAGAGACAGGTCTCACTATGCTGCCCAGGCTGGTCTCGAACTCTTCAGCTCAACAGAGCCTCCCGCCTCGGCTTCCCAAAGTGCTAGGCTGACAGGCGTGAGCCACCGCGCCCAGATCCCATTATTCTCTATTATATCACCGGCTCTTTTTCTTAATAGCGATTTTCATGTTTTACCAAATGGCAAGTTGGACTCCTGCCTGAATTTCCCCTACCCCAAGTTTAAGTTACAATGGGGCAGGGAGCACGTTTTCCTGTTCATCACTGTATCTCCACCCCTATAAGAGTGGCTAGCATTTCATAGAACCCCAATAAGTATTTCCTGGTTAACTGGATGTCGAGACAGGCACATTTTTTCTACTAAAGTGAATGCCCGCACAAATTAGGCCACGCCTTGGGGACTTCGATAGCCACGCCCCTCCCCGGTCGGGAGTGAAAGGAGCCCAGCCTTGGCCCCGCCCCCGCCGCCGACGCAGGCGCTGACGCAAGCGCAGCAGGCGCGCGCTGTTTCCGGAAGTTGCGGTTGCCGTCTCGGCTGCTGCTGCCTCAGCTACTGCCGCGGTCGCCGCGGAATTCGGCGAGTAGAACCGCTGAGGCGAGCGCGGGCCCGTGTGGGGCCGGGGTTCCGGCAACTCTGCAGAATGGAGATAATCAGGAGCAGTGCGTGTTCGCCGTGCACCTCCCCGCCTCCCCACACCCCGTTATCCCTGGCCTGCTAGGCCGAGACCATGGCCGGCCTATTTGGCTGGGCGTGGGGCTGAGGCAGCCTCTCAGGGCTTTTCCCTCCTTAAGCCGGTGTGCCTCCTGGGGTCTTGTCCCGCTGCGGACCGTGCATCCTAGGGTCCTTGTACTTACTCCTCCAATCCCGGCACCACTCGGGGCCTTGTCCTCCGGCCCGGGCACCACCCGGGGCTTGTCCCCGCTGCCCATGCACCCCTCGAGGACCTGATTACCTTCGCCCGGGTGCACACCTCCGAGACTTTTTCCCTTCCGGCTCTCAGCCTCAGGAGGTCCTCGGCCCTCCTTCCCTCTCCCCTTAGCAGGAATTCAGGCCACTGGTTCTGAGCCTCTTTTCGGTTTCTCCGCAGATTTTAAGAGTAATCTTCACAAAGTGTACCAGGCCATAGAGGAGGCCGACTTCTTCGCCATCGATGGGGAGTTTTCAGGTATCCCTCCCTCGCAAGCTCAGGCTACCGCCTTGCGGTGCGTAGCCAAGGCTCCTTCAGTCCCCCAGCCCCAGACTTCTTATGCTTGATGGTGGCCTCTCGCTGTTAGTAGCCTTGGGCGGGTTTCACAGGTCTCAATGTTACCTTTTAAACGTTTCAAAAGCACGGAAGAAATGAAATGCCGTGGGTTTGTGATTGCACTCAGGATTGCAGATAGAGATGATGGTTTTGGTGCTGCTTAAAACAGTGCAGCATGTACATTGCGGAGAGCTTGAGGATTAGGGTCAGACTTTTTTTTTTCTTGATGGTAAAATAGATATAACATGAATGTGCCGTTTTAAGTGACTTTACAGTTAAGTGGCATGAAGCACATTCACACTGCTTTGCAAACATCCCCATCCATTTCTAGGACTTCTTCATGTTCACAAACTGCAACTCTTTACACCTTAAACTCGCCATTGCTCCTTTCCTCCAGCCTTTAGCAACCGCCATTTTTCTCTGAATATGACTGCCCTTGACATATCATATAAGTGGAATCTTACAATATTTGCGCTTTTGTGACCGGCTAGGGTCAGGTTTTTGCAGATAAATATTTCTTTATGCATTAGTGGACGTGTTCATTGCCTGCCTTAGCAGATGTGTATACAGGAAATACTTCATTGACACTTAAAGTTGCAAATTTTTTTTCTCCCTTTTTTAGGGGGAGCAAAGGCTAGTTTTAAAATTGTCGATGTCAGTATGAACGGTTCACTCCCTTTAATACGGATATCCATTTTTGCTGTCTGATTTTCCATGCAGGAATCCATGCAGGGGTAAATATTATCCTTGGCTTTAAGCAGTTTCTAGTTGGAGTCACTTCCCTAGGAAGCTAAGAGTTTTCACCAGAAATAATTTTCCCTTTACCTTGAAGATACATTCTTTGTATAGATATTAACCACTCCAAACTCTTGACCAAGACTGGAACTCTGGCAGTAATGTACTTAGGGATTTATTGATGTGTGCTTATACAAGAATCTTTTAAAGCAGCAAAATTTATTCAAGCATAGAGGTTGTTTTCTTAAATGATTACTGTGTTTTAAGTCACATTTTAGACACTGGAACTGCCTATTCTCAAGTTGAAACATTCACATCTCTTAAGTTCATTATTAGAGGGTTTAACCTGGTGGCCAGCAAAATTAATGCTTATTTTGAAAAAGTAAGTTAGGGAGTGCTTCCAAGTAACCTTAATTCATGATATGACAGTATAGAGGCACTGAATGGTTGACTGGCATTTTTACGTTAGTATTTATTAGTAAGTTAAACATTTTTATTTCTTAAAATCTAGGAATCAGTGATGGACCTTCAGTCTCTGCATTAACAAATGGTTTTGACACTCCAGAAGAAAGGTATCAGAAGCTTAAAAAGGCAAGTGGATGTGTTAGAAAATCTTTTTTCTTATGTTAGTCTTCCTTATGTTAAATGATAGAGAAATATTATTAAACTTGTACATTAAGGTTTTGTAAGTGCAGTATTTTCTCCTCAAACCTAGCCATGAATTGATTTTTTTTGTTTTGTCTTGTTTTAGAGACAAGGTCTCACTCTTGTCACCCAGGCTGGGGTGCAGTGGCATGATCATTGCTCAGTGGAGCCTTGAACTCCTGGCTCAAGTGATTCTCCTGCCACAGCCTCCCAAGTAATTGGGACTACAGGCGCAAGCCACTGTGCCCAGCCAGTTTTTTTTTTGTTTGTTTGTTTTAATTTTTACATATTCTTTTGTAGAGATCGGTCTCACTTTGTTGACCAGTCTGGTCTCGAACTTCCGGCCACAAACGATCCTCCTGCCTCAGCCTCTCACAGTGCTGGGATTACAGATGTGAGCCACCACACCTGGCCTTAAAGTATTATTTTAATGATATTTAAAACAGCAAAAATAATTGTTTGCTGGAAAACATTTTGGGGAAGATTTAGCATTTTCAGTGTTAATTTGATTCCTAGGAAATATGAGGCAGTTATTTTAATCATTTGGAAATAGACCTAATATGATTCTTTGGATGATGGATAAATAGGTCCTTAAATGGGAAAAGTATTATGAAATGTATACAAATTAGTAATGCTTCTGATTCATATGTGTAATCTGTTCTACTTGGAAGTATTCTGCTGAAGTCTCATTGAGTAATTCAGAAAGCCCACCTGTTTGAGAATGCTATGCTCACATGAAATATGCAGCACTATTGTGACATGTTTTATTTCCCTTTTCCAGCATTCCATGGACTTTTTGCTATTTCAGTTTGGCCTTTGCACTTTTAAGTATGACTACACAGATTCAAAGTAAGTTGTTTTAACAAACGTTGAGAATTCTGTTTTTGTGGCACAGTGTCACCTCCTAAGTCTCCTTTTATCTTATCCCAGGTATATAACGAAGTCATTTAACTTCTATGTTTTCCCGAAACCCTTCAATAGATCCTCACCAGATGTCAAATTTGTTTGTCAAGTAAGTAACATAATTGAGTTTTTTCTTTTCTGAATTGCTGATGAGGCAGCATGAAGATGTGGAATCAGAATTTGGTTCTACTACTAACTTTGGGCTTTGGGGCAAATCATTTCACCTTTGACCTTCAGTTTTAGGGTAATACAAGAATGACCCTGTTATCTCCTCCTTTGCTGTAGAATGAATTAAAGAGGGCCAGGTGCGGCGGCTCATGCCTGTAATCCTAGCACTTTGGGAGGTTGGGGTGGGCGGATCATGAGGTCAGGAGATCAAGACCATCCTGGCTAACATGGTGAAACCCTGTCTGTACTGAAAATACAAAAAAAAAAAATTAGCCGAGTGTGGTCATGGGTGCCTGTAATCCCAGCTACTGGGGGAGGCTGAGGCAAGAGAATGACGTGAACCAGGGAGGCAGAGGTTGCACTCCAGCCTGGGCAACAGAGCGAGACTCTGTCTCAAAAAAAAAAAAAAAAAAAAAAGAATGAATTATGGAATAAGATGCAGAGACAGGCAGATGGATATGAGAACATGAGGTTTAGTAATTCTAAAGCCGAATTTGAGAACATAGCTTCGTAACTCCATTTGGGATTTTTATTATTTTACTCCCAAGTTGAACCACCTACACATCAAGACTTACAGGCTTCTTGGCTGGACATGGTGGTTTACACCTGTAATCCTAGCAGTTTTGGAGGCTAAGATGGGAGAATCACTTAAGCTCAGGAGTTTGAGACCAGCCTGGGCATAAAATAGTGAGACTTTATCTCTATTTTAAAATAAATATAAAAATAAAGAAAAGACTGGGAGGCTTCTCGCTATTCTAACTCATTCTCCTCGCATCCACTCCAAGGGTGTTGACCTTTATTTTCTGGAAAAGCAGAGTATGTGTGTATCCTATCCAAAAAGAGAGAGCCCAGAAGGGGTTAAACTATTTATGCTCACTTCCTTTTCTCAAGCTCACTAATTAGGAAACGGGGTAGAAAAAAAGCTACTGTTTCCTCTTGAGGAGAAGAGAGCTTAATTGATGGGGCAATATTAGGGTGGTTCTCCTTTAGGATATTTCCTCCAGAGGTGGTGTAGTTGACCTGGTAGACACTCAGTAAATATCACTTTTTCCTTTCTGCTCTCTTGATTATCTGTTGTAATGGATAAGGAGAATGTGAATAAGGGGTATGGGTGTGTGGCTATGTGATTAAAAATAAGTCTTAATCTTTTCTTATTTAAAATCTTGCATCCTATCTTCTCTCCCACTAACAACTTGAATTCATTTGAGTCTTGCCATCTTTCCCTTCTCTTGCAGATGAATGGTAATGCAGTTATGAAAGCCTCGAGGGTAGGCTTCACAGTGATTGAGTTATGTCAAATTCTTTCTCAAAACTGGCAGTATATAAACAAATGAAATCGAGAATTAATCATATGCTTGTGGGCAAAAGAAAAAAGGTGAAGGTTAATTTTGGTCTTACAGACAGTTTCCTAAATTAGCAAGTAAACCAGCTGACATTTTACCTTTACCCTGCAATCAGTTAATAGCTATTTATCAATCACTGTGGTATGGGATACTTAAACAGTATTTGTACATTTTTTTTTTTTTGAGACGAAGTTTTGCTCTTCTTGCCCAGGCTGGAGTACAGTGGCATGATCTTGGCTCACCACAACCTCTCCCTCCCGGGTTGAAGTGATTCTCCTGCCTCAGCTTCTCGAGTAGCTGGGATTACAGGCATGCACCAAGATCCTTGGCTAATTTTTTGTTTTTAGTAGAGACGGGGTTTCTCCATGTTGAATCAGGCTGGTCTCGAACCCCCAACCCCAGGTGATCTGCCCGCCTCAGCCTCCCAAAGTGCTGGGATTACAGGCATGAGCCACTGCACCTGGCCTTATAGTGTGTGTGTGTGTTGTTTTTTTTTTTTTTGGTAAATTTTCATTGAGGGAAAAGTAGGCTCAGTTGGGAAATTTGTGTGGATATAGTTTTCTAGTAGTACCAGCAACACAGAATTACTTAAAGTGGGTTCCACGGCTTTGGCCAGGGGTTAATCAAACAAAAGCAGAGGGTGGCAATGAGACACCTTAGGGATGGCACTCTGTTCTTTTTTTTATTTTTTTTTTTGAGACGGAGTTTCGCTCTTGTTGCCCAGGCTGGAGTGCAATGGCATGATCTCAGCTCATTGCAACTTCCGCCTCCCAGGTTTAAGTGATTCTCCTGTGTCAGCCTCCCGAGTAGCTGTTACTACAGGCATGCACCACCATCCTGGCTAATTTTATATTTTTAGTTGAGATGGGGTTTCTCCTTGTTGGTCAGGCTGGTTTCGAACTCCCAACCTCAGGTGATCCTCCCACGTTGGCCTCCCAAAGTGCTGGGATTACAGGCATACACCATCACGCTGACTAATTTTATATTTTTAGTAGAGATGAAGTTTCTCCGTGTTGGTCAGGCTGATCTCGAATTCCTGACCTTAGGTGATCCTCCCACCTTGGCCTCCCAAAGTGCTGGGATTACAGGCATGAGCCACCATTCCTGGCCGATGGCACTCTGTTTTAAATGACTAAGACAAATCTGGTTAGTTTGGGAAATGTATTGGAAACAGATCAGAGGAACTTCACCCATTGTACAAGCCGTGATTGTACACCTGGAATACTTAATACAGTTCTAGTTGCCAGCAATTCCTTTAATAAAAGCTGTCATAGACTTGAAGATAGACCTGAGAGTGATGTCTAAAACAGACGAATAAAAGTGCTGGGGTTCTCTAGTCTGGAAAAACAAAGGCAGAGAAAAGGTTTAGACTCTGTAAATTTGGGAATTGTATGAAAAGGGAAATGTATTTTTGTATTTTCTTTGGTCTTTCATTTAAGGTTTTTGTTTTATTTAAAATTCTATAGTTGTAGCAGAGTTGCATACAAGGGCATTCAGTTCTGGAGTTAGTAATTAGGGTGAAAATTGGGTCAAAATCTCTCTCAGAAAGCTCTTATCACCCTTAAAGCATATAGGATTTGAAGATGCAACAACTTAATATGTTTTTAAAATATAGGACCCTGTGTGCACAGTGAGATGCTCCCATATTCTTGTCGAGATGTGGAGGAATGGGTTGACAGAACCACACTCACACCCAGAAGAGTGTATTTGTAGAATAGTAGGGCAGTCAGGATAGCAGGACATTTATATCATTTTTGTCTTCTTTTTCTTTTCTTCCTCTTCCTTTTTCTGGCTAAAGATCTGTAGTTGAATTCATAGAAGGTATTTTATATATATGGTTGTGAAAAACTGAAATATAACTGCTGTATGTAGAGTAATAGATGTGTTTCTTTTCTTTTTCTTTTTTTTTTTTTTTTTTTGGTTTTTGAGATGGAGTCTTCCTTTGTCGCCCAGGCTGGAGTGCAGTGGTGCAATCTCGGGTCACTACAACCTCCGTCTCCTGGGTTCAACCAATTCTCTTGTCTCAAACCTCCAGAGTAGCTGGGACTACAAGCACCTGCCACCACGCCTGGATAATTTTTGTATTTTTAATAGAGACAGGGTTTCACTATATTGGTCAGGCTGGCCTCGAACTCCTGACCTCAGGTGATCCACCCGCCCTGGCCTCCCAGTGTGCTAGGATTACAGACGTGAGCCATCGCGCCTGCCCAGATGTGTTTCTTTTTTTTTTTTTTTCTCTTTGTTTTTGAGACGGAGTTTTGCTCTGTTGCCAGGCTGGAGTGCAGTGGTGTGATCTCGGCTCACTGCAACCTCCACCTCCTGGGTTCAAGCGATCCTCCTGCCTCAGCCTCCTGAGTAGCTGGGACTATAGACATGTGCTACCATGCCCAGCTGATTTTTATGTTTTTAGAAGAGACGGGGTTTTACCATGTTGGCCATGATGGTCTTGATTTCTTGACCTCGTGATCTGCCCACCTTGGCCTCCCAAAATGCTGGGATTATAGGTGTTAGCCACTGCGCTTGGCTGTGTTTCTCTTCTTACTTTTCCCATGCCACCTCCTTCCTGTTTTACTCCTTTTTTCCTAGCTTTTATGTACATGTATACATATACACATATACCTAGACACACATACCTATTAGCCTTTTTTTTTTTTTTTTTAATGAGACAGAATCTCTCTGTCACCAAGGCTGGAGTGCAGTGGTGTAGTCATGGCTCACTGCAGCCTTGACCTCGCTGGCTCAAGTGATCTTCCTGCCTTAGCCTCCTGAGTAGCTGGAACTATGGGCACATGCCACCATGCCCAGCTACTTTTTGTATTTTTTGTAGAGACAAGGTTTTACCATGTTGCCTTAGCCGGTCTCAAACTCCTGGCCTCAAGCAGTCTGCCCACTTTGGCTTCCCAAAGTGCTGGGATTGCAAGCATGTACCACTGTGCCAGGCTTACATTTAAAAAAATGGGCTGGGCGCGGTGACTCAGGCCTGTAATCCCAGCACTTTGGGAGGCCGAGGCTGGCGAATCACAAGGTCAGGAGATCGATACCATCCTGGCTAACACGGTGAAACCCTGTCTCTACTAAAAACACACAAAAAATTAGCTGGACCTGGTGGCGAGCATCTGTAGTCCCAGCTACTCGGGAGGCTGAGGCAGGAGAATGGCATGAACTCGGGGGGTGGAGGTTGCATTGAGCCAAGATCGCGCCACTGCATTCCAGCCTGGATGACAGAGTGAGACTCCGTCTTAAAAATATGTATATATATATAAGTGGAATCCTAATATTCACATTTTATGCAACTCGCATTTGCCACTCAGCAGAATGTCTTTTATTTCATAGTATGGATACATATAATTTGTTTAATCAGTTACTTAATTGAAATTTGGAGGCTTTCCAATGGTTATCAGCAATTCTGTAGTCAACTTCTGTGTGCAGTATATCTTTTTGTATAGGTAAGAATTTTTTGGTATTATAGATTTCCTAGAAGGGGCATTGTTGAGACATATGATATATGCATTTAAAGTTTTGATGGGTGTCTCAAATTGTCTTCCCAAATACGTATTCTCATGTCCTGAATTTTTTCATTTTATTTGAGACAGAGTCTCACTCTGTTGCCCAGGCTAGAGTGCAGTGGCATGATCTTGGCTCACTGTAACCTCTGCCTCCCGAGTTCAAGCGATTCTCTGCTTCAGCCTCCCAAGTAGTTGGGTCTACAGGTGCATGCCACCATGCCTGGCTAATTTTTGTATTTTTAGTAGAGACAGGGTTTCACCATGTTGACCACGCTGGTCTCGAATTCCTGACCTCAAGTGATCCACCTGCCTTGGCCTCCCGAAGTGCTGGAATTACAGGCATGAGACTGTTCACAGCTTCAACTCTTCAATCTTGAAAATGTTACATTTACGACAAATCAAAGTAGTGGCTAGTAAACCGCAAAAGGTTTTATGAATTCAAAGGTTTTTTTTTTTTTTTTTTGGAGACAGAGTCCCCGTCGCCCAGGCTGGAGTACAGTGGCGTGATCTCGGCTCACTGCAAGCTCTGCCTCCTGGGTTCACACCATTCTTCTGCCTCAGCCTCCCGAGTAGCTGGGACTAAAGGCGCCCGCCACCGCACCCGGCTAATTTTTTGTATTTTTAGTAGAGATGGGATTTCACCGTGTTAGCCAGGATGGTCTTGATCTCCTGACCTCGTGATTCGCCTGCCTTGGCCTACCAAAGTGCTGGGATTACAGGCATGAGCCACTGTGCCCGGCCAGTGTTTTTTGTTTTTGTTTTCGTTTTTGTTTTTAGTAGAGACAGGGTTTCACCATGTTGGTCAGGCTGGTCTTGAACTCCTGGCCTTGAACACCTCAGCCTCCCAAAGTGTTGGGATTACAGGCATGAGCCAACACACTCAACCTGTTTTTTGTTTTTTTTTAAGAGGCAGAGTCTTGTTCCGTCACCCACGCTGGAGTCCAGTGGTGCGATCACAGCTCACTGCAGACTTGAACTCCTGGGCTCAAATGATTTTCTTGATTCTCCCACCTCAGCTGTGGGATAGCTGGGACTGCAGATGGGAACCACCACACCTGGCTAATTTTTAAATTTTTTGTAGAGACGTGTCTCCCTATGTTACTCAGGCTAGTCTTGTACTCTTGGGCTCAAGCTATCCTCCCACAATCTCCCAAAGTGCTGGGATTACAGGTGTGAGCTACTGCACCCAGCCTAATATATACTTACTTTTAAATAACTTTATTATTATTATTTTTAATTGAGGTGGAATCTTGCCATGTTGCCCAGACTGGTCACACAAACTTCTGGGCTCTGGTGATCTAACCACCTCAACTTCCCAGAGTGCTGGGATTACAGGTGTAAGCCACCAGGTCCAGCCCAGTCTAATGTTTTTATTTAAATCTGGGAACATATTTTGGCTCATGCTAGGTTCAAGATATATTTGTTTAGTAAGGCTTATTATTGGGAACTTCTCTTTTGATCTTTTTTGTTTTGAGACAAGGTCTCACTTTGTCACTCAGGCTGGAGTGCAGTGGCATGGTAGTAGCCCACTACAGCCTCAACCTCCTGACCTCCCGTACTCAAGTGATCCTCCTACCTCAGCCCCTGTGTAGCCGGGACTACAGGTATGTGCTACCATGCCTGGCTAATTTTTAAATTTTTTGTGGAGATGGGATCTCACTGTTTTGCCCAAGCTGGTCTTGAACTCCTGGGCTTAAGCAATCTTCCTCCCTTGGCCTCCCTAAGTGCTAGGTTTGCTGGTATGAGCCATGGTGCCTGGCCTCCCTTTTGATCTTGATCATCGAGAACATTTAATTAAGATTTTGGGTCTTCATTATCTAATTTGAGGTGGATGTCAGTGTCTTATAACCTGTGTATGTAGGCTACATTAAACTTGAACCTGGGATGGGGTAATAAAATACATTTTAGTTCTATTTACAGTTTCCTAGTCAGTACTACAACAGTCAAGAGATCAGGAGCTTTCTGCCTATTGGGAGAATATCTGTTCACCCAGTGGATTTTTTTTTTTTTTTTTTTTTTTTTATATATACAGAGTCTTGCTCTGTCGCCTGGGCTGGAGTGCAGTGGCTCGATCTCGGCTCACTGCAACCTCCTCCACCCAGACTCAAGCAGTTCTCCTCAGCCTCAGCCTCCTGAGTAACTGGGATTACAGGTGCACATCACCACACCTGGCTAATTTTTGTGTTTTTAGTAGAGACAGGGTTTCACCATGTTGACCAGGCTGGTCTCAAACTTCTGACCTCAAGTGATGTGCCCACCTCTGCCTGCCAAAGTGCTGGGATTACAGGCGTGAGCCACTATGCCGGTCTACCCAATGGATATTTTAAAAATATTATGAAGCAGGCTGGGTGTGGTGACTCATGTTTGTAATCCCAGCACTTTGGGACGCCAAGGCAGGAGGGTCGCTTGAGTCCAGGAGTTTGAGAGCAGCCTGGGCAACATAGGGAGACCCTGTGTATAAAAAAAAAATCGTAAAACAAAGGATGTTTGTTTTGTAAGCTATAAAGGAGAAAAGCCCAAATGTTTTAAGCGGTTAATAGATTGTTTGTGGAGTAGAAATTCCTTGTATTGTGACCTTTGGCACATTGCTTCCTTGCCTTGTTGTCTTTGTTTTCTTGTTTGAGTTACTTCTCTGCATCTCTTTATATTCCTGCCACTAACCTCCCCAAAACATGTGTTCTGTTTACTCTGTTTCAGAGCTCCAGCATTGACTTTCTAGCAAGCCAGGGATTTGATTTTAATAAAGTTTTTCGCAATGGTAAGATTATGGGTAACCTATCTTTAGAGCTTATAAACCTTCACAATGTCCTTAGGAAGTAAGTCTGGACTTGGTTGAGAATTATTATTTTGTGTCTGCTGAAACACAGTCTCAGAGTTCCAGCATGCTTGTGTAGCCATGTGCAGCCTTAGAATTTTTAAAAACTTGCTTACTGTGATTTTTTTTTTTTTTTTTTTTGAGAAGGAGTCTTGCTGTGTCACCCAGGCTGGAGTTCTGTGGCGGGATCTAGGCTCACTGCACGGTCCGCCTCCCAGGTTCACGCCATTCTCCTGCCTCAGCCTCCTGAGTAGCTAGGACTATAGGCGCCCGCCACCACGCCCGGCTAATTTTTTGTATTTTCAGTAGAGACGGGGTTTCACCATGTTAGCCAGGATGGTGTCGATCTCCTGACCTTGTGATCTGCCCGCCTCAGCCTCCAAAAATGCTGTGATTACAAGTGTGAGCCACCACGCCCAGCCTACTGTGATCTTTTAGGGGGAAAAAAAAATCAGCTATGAGCTGAACAGAATAGATGCTACTTCATTTAACTCTGATAAGGCCCTTCAAACTCCTGTTTTTATTGAGTGCAGTTTATTCTACCACTGGTGTGACATAGTGGCCTAACTCACCACCTGTGGGGAATGCTGCCTTGTTTTCTTTCAGTGTAACAAGAGGTGTGTACTTTACAAATATACTGTATTCCAGTAATGCTATAATGAAAACCCTCTTTGCCAGCTAGTGCATATTTATTTTTATTTTATTTTTTATGTTTGTTTTTTGTAACACCTCTGCTGGCAAGAATTATTTTGAGACAGGGTCCCACTCTGTCACCCAGGCTGAGTGCAGTGGTGCAATCATAGCTCACTGGAGCCTTGACCTGCTGGGCTCAAGTGATTCTCCCACCTCACCCTCCCGTGTTGCTGGGACTACAGCTTTGCGCCAGCCTGCCTGGCTGATTTTCATATTTTTTGTCAAAATGGGATTTTGCCGTGTTGCCCAGGCTGGTCCCAAACTGCTGTTCTCAAACAATCCACCTGCCTTGGCCTCCCAGCGTGCTGGGATTACAGGCGTGAGCCACCACACCCTGCCTCCCTGTTGCTTTTTTAATAGTTGGAGACAGTATCTTAGTTTCTTACGAGAGAAGGAAAGTACGGAGACTGCACGATTGATAATAGCTAACTTGCTAGGGTGATGGCCTGGGGAGCACCTGAGGAAGGGACTGTGTATTGTTCATTTCACATCCCCTTGCATAGCATGATTTCTTTTCTGTATCACCAAATATTTGATGCAAGTGGGTGCATGAGTACTGGACATCAGAGCGTTTCAAATTGGTTTTCCTTCCTCTTCATTTGCTTCTCCAAAAGTGTTTAGGAAGACCGTGCTTTTTGCAGTGGTATTAAGTATGTACAAGGTCAATATTTTAATTTAATTATTTACATAAATTTTGCTTTTTTTCCCCCATGGTGACTGTAGAATTAATGAATGAAGGAGGGAAGGAGGTTTATCTGAACAAGAATAACTGAACTTTTCTCAGAAAAAAGTACATGGGCCTCAAATGAATTCTCCTCTTCTCAGCAGAACCTCTTTGCAAGGTGTTTAGTACCCATGCCATATTGGTGTTATTTTTTTTTCTTTTTTTTTGAGACAAAATCTCACTTTCAGGCTAGAGTGCAGTGGTGTGATCTCGACTCACCGCAGCCTCCGCTAACGGGTTCAAGCGATTCTCATGCTTCAGCCTCCCGAGTAGCTGAGACCACAGGCACACGCCGCCATGCACACCTGATTTATGTATTTTTAGTAGATAGGGGGTTTCACTATGTTGGCCAGGCTGGTCTTGAACTCCTGACCTCACGTGATTCACTCACCTTTGCCTCTTAAAGTGCTGGGATTACAGGCATGAGCCACTGGGCCTGGCCCATATTGTTTTTTAATTACTTCAGTGGTGCTGCATCTTAATTTTTGTTGATTTCGATCTTTGGAGGTAATGAAAACAAACTTTTTTGGAGCCAAAACTACTTCACATAGTGACTGAACCAGCAGAGCAATACAGTTTGGGTATTATAAAGACATTTTTTTTTTATTAGTCTCGTACTTCACTCTGAAAGCCGTCATAAAATAGAAGTTCCAAATGCATTTAGAGCATTGTATTGGACTAGTGGCAGCATTTCTTGAAGGAACCACTTTATCCGGTACTCGTATGGATGCGTAGTTCTAACTTTTTTTTTTTTCATAGAAGAAGAGAAACAGCCAGATTGGAATGTGCCTCCTTCTTCTGTTTTATAGTCATGCCCTGGAATATTTTAGTCACAATAGTTAGGACTCCCAGGTCATCCATACTACCAAGCCTCATCCCATGCTGTTGTAGATATGCTCTAAATCTGACTTACACCCTCATCTCTCCATTTGCAGGACTTTCCATTCAGGCTCTGTAAATGTCAGGCCCTTTCCTTACAGCAGTCTTCTCTCAAGTTCCTTTGATTTCCTTGTCTGGAAGGAAACCAGGTGACTCCTCTTGTTAGTTTCCCCCTGTAGCCTTCTCCATCCCTGGTGGTTTTCCCTCTCACTCTTGTCTTCCTCTGGCCAGGCTGTGCTAGGTGTCCTCCTCGTTTCCCCATGCCACCTTCAGACACCTGAATTTTCTTTTCTTTTTTTTTTTTGAGACAGAGTTTTGCTCTTGTTGCCCAGGCCGGAGTGCAGTGGTGCGATCGTGGCTCACCGCAACCTCCGCCTCCCGGGTTCAAGTGATTCTCCTGCCTCACCCTCCAAAGTAGCTGGGATTATAGGCATGTGCCACTATACCTGGCTAATTTTGTATTTTTACTAGGGACAGTTTCTCCATGTTGGCCAGGCTGGTCTCCAACTCCTGACCTCAGATGATCCACCTGCCTCGGCCTCCCAAAGTGCTGGGGTTACAGGTGTGATTGCCGCGCCTGGCACCTGAATTTTGTTTTGTACAGGAGCCGCCATTCTCAGGCTGTCACCAGCTCTGCAGCCCCTCTCTGTGCTGACTCCTGTAGCCGCAGCGTGCATCATAGCCTTGGCTTTGGTGTGTTATCATTCTCTCCACTCCTGCCCTTCTCTGGGTGACTTTAGTATCCTCAAGGATAACCAGCAAATGCTCTGGTCTGTTTCTTGACCAGGTGGTCAGTAGTCTTTCTTTCTATCTGTCTTTAGTCCCCTATACCAGTGGCAGTGTCATGGATCTTAGGGTCAAAAACTGCACTTCTCATTTACTATCTTTTTTTTTTTTCTTTTTCGAGACAGGGTGTTGCTTTGTCACCAGGCTGGAGTGCATTGGCACATTCATGGCTCACTGCAACCTTGACCCCCTGGCCCAAGTGATTCTCTAACTTCAGCCTTCCGTGTAGCTGGAACCGTAGGCGCACATCATCATGCCCAGCTAATTTTTACGTTTTTTATAGAGACAGGGTCTCACTATATTGTCCAGGCTGGTCTCAAACTCCTGGGTTCAAGCAGTATTCCTGCCGCTACCCCCTAAAGCTCTGGGATTATAGGAATGAGCTGTTGTGCATGGTCTCATTTATTGTTTTTAGTGTTTTTAATGTTTCTTTCTTTGAGAGTACTACTTCTTGTGCTTCTATATCACTTGCTCTGGTACCTATTTCAGCAATCTGTTGACTTACATTGCTTTTTCACTATCTGTTGCCTTCCCTGCTTCTCCTTTGAGTGTGTTCTCTGTATATCATACCAGGAGGCACATGATGTCATTTGTCCTGTTACTGCTGATGTTAACTTGGACCACTTTTTTTGCCAGTTAGTTTTAGCATCCATTGATAATTCTTGCTTTAAGCAGTTATCGTTGACAGATGGTGGTTTTCTGCATTCATTGTTCTTTCTACAAATTCCTTAGTGTCCCTTGGCTTTGTTGTTATTGTTGTTTTGAGACAGTCTCACCCTGTTGCCCAGGCTGGAGTGCAGTGGCGTGATCTTGGCTCACTTGCAACCACCGCCTCCCAGATTCATGTGATTCTCCCACCTCAGCCTCCTGAGTACCTGGGACTACAGGCACGTGCCACCATGCATGGCAAATTTTTGTACTTTATGATAGAGAGGGCATTTTACCATATTGAACAGGCTGATCTTAAACTCTTGATCTTAAGTGATCCGCCCTCCTCAGCCTCCCAAAGTGCTGAGATTATAGGCATGAGCCAGGCTCCTGGCCTCCCATGGTGTTTTTTTTTTTTTTTCTGGGAGATGGAGTTTCGCTCTTGTCACCCAGGCTGCAGTGGAATGGCACAATCTCGGCTCACCGCAACCTCTGCCTCCTGGGTTCAAGCAATTCTCCTACCTCAGCGTCACAAGTAGCTGGGATTACAGGCATGTGCCACCATGCCTGGCTAATTTTGTATTTTTAGTAGACACAGGGTTTCTCCATGTTGGTCAGGCTGGTCTTGAACTCCCGACCTCAGGTGATCTGCCTGCCTCAGCCTCCCATAATGCTGGGCTTACAGACATGAGCAACTGCGCCTGGTCCCCATGGCTTTTAATACCACCCATATCCCAGTGATAACTAAATTTATATTTCAACACCTTTCCCTTGAGCTTGTAACTGCAAGTTTTAATTTGTGTATACCCTTAGATGATTTGATATGTCTGTGGCCGGGCGCAGTGGCTCATTCCTGTAATCCCAGCACTTTGAGAGGCTGAGACGGGCAGATCACCTGAGGTCAGGAGTTCAAGACCAGCCTGGCTAACATGGTGAAACCTTGTCTCTACTAAAAATACAAAAATTAGCTGGGCGTGGTGATGGGTGCCTGTAGTCCCATCAACTTGGGAGGCTGAGGCAGGAGAATTGCTTGAACCTGAGAGGTGGAAGTTGCAGTGAGCCGAGATTGTGCCATTGCATTCCAGGCTGGGTGAAAGAGCAAGATTTAGTCCTAAAAAAAAAAAAAAAGAAAAAAAATAGTATGTCCAAAAGGTAGCTTTTGATTTTCACTCCTTGGACCCCAGTACCTATTTTTCTCTTCTTTGTTTTCACGTCAGTTAGTGGCCCTACCATCTTCCCAATTGCTTGAACCAAAGAGCAAGGTTTTTTTTTTTTTTTTTTTTTTTTTTTTTTGAGACAGAGTCTCACTCAGTCACTAGGCTGACATGCGGTGGCATGATCTCGGCTCACTGCAACCTCTGCCTCCTGGGTTCAAGCAATTCTTCTGCCTCAGCCTCCCAAGTAGCTGGGACTACAGGCACACGCCACCATGCCCAGCTAATTTTTGTATTTTTAGTAGAGATGGGGTTTCACCATGTTGGCCTGGATTGTCTCCATCTCTTGACCTTGTGATCCACCTTCCCTGGCCTCCCAAAGTGGTTGGATTACAGGCATGAGCCACCGCGCCCGGCTGCAAGGTGTTTTTCCTGATTTTGCCTTTCCCTTTATCCTTCATCTCCAGGATATCAGTTACCTCTTATGTCTAGAAAATCACTGTCTCCATCTACCCTGCCACCTCTGTAGTCAACGCCAGGGTTACAAACGACAGCCCACTGCTTGCTCCCTGTTTTGTAAATAAGATTTGCTGGACTCCAGCTATGCCTGTACATGTACATTCTGTGTATGGCTGCTTTTGTGCCACAACAGCAGGGTTGAGTATTGCAACAGAGAGCCTCATGGCCCACAAGCCTAAAATATTTACCATCAAGCCTTTTAAGAAAAAGTTTGCTGGCCGGGCGTGGTGGCAGTGACTCCCACCTGTAATCCCAGCACTTTGGGAGGCTGAGGCGGGCAGTGAGGTCAGGAGTTCGAAACCAGCCTGGCCAACATGGCGAAACCCTGTCTCTACTGAAAATACAAAAATTAGCCTGGTGTGATGGTGCACTCTTGTAAATCCCAGCTACTCCGGAGGCTGAGACAGAGTTGCTTGAACCCGGGAGGCAGAGGTTGCAGTGAGCTCAAATTGTGCCATTGCTCGCCAGCCTCGGTGACAGAGTAAGACTCTGTCTTAAAACAAAAGAAAGAAAAAATTTGCTGACCTCTGATCCAGCTCTTGTTTCTTGCCTGGATAATTGCTCCTAACTTGCTTCCCAACTTCCACTCTCAGAGTAGTTGTCATGGCCTTTTAAGCATTATGCAGGTAGGGTAATTATCTTGCTTAAAATCTTCTAATATTGTCCAGTCACTGTTAGAATAATGTGCATTTCTTACCCTGGCCTGTGAGGGCCTGCAGAATCTTGCTCCATACTCTCTCCAATCTGATGCTGTACCATTCCATTTTTGCTCACGACGTCTGGCCACACCAGCTCCTTGCTGCTCCTGGAACAGTCCAAGCCATTGCCATCTTCTGGGTATTCATACTTGTTCCCCTACCCGAAGGATTCTTCCCCTAGCTCCTTTCATATCCGACTTATTCTCATCCTTTGGGTTTTCCCTTACTTTCCTGATTATCTTGTCAGAAGTAGTTCCCTTCAGAGAAGGATGCATCAGCTTGTCACTGTTCATTCCTCAGTGCCTAATATAATGCTTTGGCAAAGCATAAGTGCCAGATAAATATTTCTTGAAAGAAGACTGAATGAATGGATGAATGATAAACACATTTCAAAATCACTTGCCTTTCTGTTCATTTTTTGAGATGTAGTTAAATATGGTAAATCTTTCCTGAGTAATTTAGACTCTTTGGTTTGTTAAACAAATTTTATGTTAGACAGTTACTTCTGCTAATGTGTTCTTTTTAAAATCATGCTTAGGAATTCCATATTTAAATCAGGAAGAAGAAAGACAGTTAAGAGAGCAGTATGATGAAAAACGTTCACAGGCGAATGGTGCAGGAGCTCTGTCCTACGTATCTCCTAACACTTCAAAATGTCCTGTCACGATTCCTGAGGATCAAAAGAAGTTTATTGACCAAGTGGTGTAAGTTCCTAAACTAAAACTAAGCATGCATTGTGTGCTGTATATTGGGGCATGACAGGCATGTGTATCTCAAACCTCTGCTTTGCAAACATAGTATACACACAGGTGTGACGTTGTGAATGGCAGGATGTAATTGTGGCATATTAAAAAAAATTTTTTTTTGTTTTATTTTTGAGACAGTCTTGCTCTGTTGCCCAGGTTGGAGTGCAATGGTACAATCCTGGCTTACTGCAACCTCTGCCTCCCAGGTTCAAACAATTCTTGTGACTCAGCCTCCTGAGTAGCTGGGATTATAGGTGTGCGCCACCACACCCAGCTAATTTTTATATTTTTAGTAGAGCCGAGGTTTTGCCATGTTTGCCACGCTGGTCTCGAACTCCTGGCCTCAAGTGATCCGCCCGCCTCAGCCTCCCAAAGTGTTGGGCTTACAGGCGTGAGCCAGCGTGCCTAGCCGGCATATTCAAATTTGTGCAACAGCAACAAATTGTAAATAGAGTTCCATGTATTGTACTTGGATTTGCTACATGTCACTAGGCACAAGATTTCAGTACATGGGCAGACCTGCATGGACTTTTTTTTTTTTTTTTAATTAAATAGAGACGGATCTCACTGTGTTTCCTGGGCTGGTGTCAAACTCCTGAGCTCAAGGGATCTTCCTGCCTCGGCCTCCCGGAGTGCTGGGATTATCGGCCTGAGCCATTGCCTGGCCCCTTTTCTTGTTTTTTAAATGCTAATCAGCTGACTTCTAAAACTTGCATGTACTGAATACCTGACAGCCACTGTCCAATGTCCTTGAAGGCAGAGTAGTGGATCAGGCTTATCCAGCTTGCAGCATGTCCATGTTCTCTTTGCTTGCAGTAAAGGTGCTGACAAGCAGATATGATCTTGGACAAGTGTCTGGTCTTGCTTAGCTTAGTTGTTGGTGTAACCATTTTACTGGGAAAGTCAAAAATTAAATCACTTGTACTGACGAGTCCTTGAGAAGTCACTAATTAATAACAGCAGTAACCCTCTTCCCCCAAAAATATGCCAAATAAAGCTTTTTTTGTTTCATTTTATTTATTTTTTGAAACAGGGTCTCACTCTGTTGTCAAGGCTGGAGTGCAGTGGCGTGATCACAGCTCACTGCAGCCTCAACTTCCCAGGCTCAGGCGATCGTCCCACCTCAGCTTCTGAAGTAGCTGGGACCACAGTTACACTGCACCATGCCCAGTTAACTTTTAACATATTTTGTAGTGAGGGACTCTCAGTATATTGCCCAGGCTGGTCTCGAACTCCTGGGCTCAAGTGATCCCCCCCAACCTCGACCTCCCAGAGTGCTGGAATTCTATGCCTAGGTCAAAATAAAGCATTTTTAAAAAAGTCTTTGAACTAAAAGTTATAGGGTAATTTGGTAGAATTACATTGTCACACATTCTTATATTTATTTATTTATTTTTTTTTTTTGAGACGGAGTCTCGCTTTGTGGTCCAGGCTGGAGTGCAGTGGCCGGATCTCAGCTCACTGCAAGCTCCGCCTCCCGGGTTTACGCCATTCTCCTGCCTCAGCCTCCCGAGTAGCTGGGACTACAGGCACCCGCCACCTCGCCCGGCTAGTTTTTTGTATTTTTTAGTAGAGACGGGGTTTCACTGTGTTAGCCAGGATGGTCTCGATCTCCTGACCTCGTGATCCACCCGTCTCGGCCTCCCAAAGTGCTGGGATTACAGGCTTGAGCCACCGCGCCCGGCCACATTCTTATATTTAGACTGTTTTTGGTTGTGATTATTTTCTTGGTTGATGACTTAATTCCTTAAAGGTACTGATGGTCATGGTCTATTCTAATTCTTCAGAGAGAAAATAGAAGATTTATTACAAAGTGAAGAAAACAAGAACTTGGATTTAGAGCCATGTACCGGGTTAGTTGTCCTGAACATTTCTGCGTGTTCTTTTTTCGGAAAGGTAGATGATTTGTGGCATTTGATGCATCTAGTCTTTTCAAAACACCTTTATAAAGGGTCTTATTATTATTGGTATGTTCTCAAGAATTAAGCACTAACTTTAGCGTTACACAGTGGGGATGACTGTGTATACTGAGACACTGAATGAATGCTTTGTCCTATACCTGGAGCGGAGAAAACTGTTGTGCAACCTTGACTTTCAGTTATGCCCAAGAGTGGCATAATTACTTTGGCCTTGAGGAGTGCTTAGTACATGAAGGCTTCAGAAGAAAGAATTCACTTTCAGGCTACTTCTACCCTTTTAATTTCTCTCTGCATTTAAAAAACATTAGCATTTCAAAGAGTCAGTAACGTGATTGTCTTTTTCCTTTTACTTTGTGAGGAGCTTCACAAAAGTATTTTAATGCGTCTGTCTACTTTAAACTCTCTTTATGCAGCCGCAGGAAGCAATATTTTGATTAGACAAGAACTTCTACCTCTTCAATAAAAGCAGTATAATATTAAAGAAAATTTTAGAAGACAAGTGATGAGGAATTCCCCCCACGTCAAATAACCTGCCTATTTTTGTTTGCAAATTACCTGTCAGTTCTAATGAAGTCTCTTTTTAAAGTGAAATCCTTCTCAACAAATGCTTGATCAGTTTGGATTTACTTCTAATGAACCAAAATCAATACCTTTTTTTTTGTTTTTATAGGTTCCAAAGAAAACTAATTTATCAGACTTTGAGTTGGAAGTAAGTATTTATATTGTATGCAGGAGCTCTTTGGGGGACCCAGGATTTAAAGACTAAATATAATCTCTTAGCTCTCATTTCCTTTTTGAAATTCTGCGGTTCTCAGTGATTTGACCCCACCAAGTTCCCCTGCTTTCTTAAGTTGAATACTCACTTAATTTTCTTTTGTTACTGTTTTTTAACAGATGCTTGAAGGCTTCTTAAAATAATTATCACTTTGGTGCATCCATTAAGCTATGGATTGGTAGTGTTTTTGTCCTTTGGGGGTATACAATGAATATTTGTTTCAGACCTGGGAAATACTCAGATGAATGCTTTTGGTAAAGCAAGAGTTCTTAACTTAGGGTGAGACTATGGATGGGTTTCAGGAGGTCTGTGAATCCCCTGAAATAACATCCAGACGTTTGTGTGTGTATTTTTCCAAGGATGTTTCCCTTGGTTTCCTTGTGTTTGCAGGTGGGTCTTCAATTCAGAAATTGAACATTGACATAGACAGGTGGACATTTCCATTTGACTTTGGGGACCTTGTTCTTCCATTGGAATCTACTGGTGACATGTATACTGGAAATATACTTTGAACACAATAGGAAAGGGCCGTTTAGTTTGCCCACACTCCTTTCCTGTCATGTCATCCTTGCAGCCTACTCCACCTGCATTCCACATCCTTCTCCTCGTTGGCTGATGCAAACTGTTAATACCATGCAAAACTACAGCAGATTTGACCATCTAAAACCTCCTCTTTATATGCCCCGTGCAATCCAAAAAGACTTTCAGGCCAGGTGTGGTGGCTCACTCCTATAATCCTAGCATTTTGGGAGGCCGAGGTGGGCAGATCACCTGAAGTTAGGAGTTCAAGACCAGCCTGGCCAACATGGTGAAACCCCATCTCTACTAAAAATACAAAATTTAGCCGGGCATGGTGGCACATGCCTGTAATCCCAGCTACTTGGGAGGCAAAGGCAGGAGAATCACTTGAACCTGGGAGGCAGAGGTTGCAGTGAGCCAAGACTGCAGCTCGGTTCTCCAGCCTAGATGGCAGAGTGAGACTCCATCTCAAAAAAAAAATAAATAAATAAAATAAAATAAGACTTTCACAATTTCAGTTAGGAAACATTTTTATATTTGGAAGAAAGATTTGACTCTGGTAATGAGTTGACTGTATTTTGAGATGTAGGACATTTTAGAAAATGCCTAAGTCCTGGCTGGGCGCAGTGGCTCACTCCTGTAATCTCAACACTTTGGGAGGCCAGGGCGGGCGTATCACAAAGTCAGGAGATGGAGACCATCCTGACTAACACGGTGAAACCCTGTCTCTACTGAAAACACAAAAGATTAGCGGGGCGTGGTGGTGCGCTCCTGTAGTCCCAGCTACTCTGGAGGCTGAGGCAGAAGAATGGTGTGAACCCAGGAGGCGGAGCTTGCAGTGAGCCGAGATTTCGCCACTGCACTCCAGCCTGGGCAACAGAGCAAGACTCTATCTCAAAAGAAAAAAGAAAGAAAGAAAATGCCTAAGTCCTAAAAAAATTAATTTGAAAGTCAAATCCATGTTTATGTGTTTACGAGCAAGGGTAAGGAAACATTTAGCAGCTGAAATGTTATAAAATAAATGTGCTGTGAAGTCTTCATTGTAGTGATAATTATTTCATAGTTAATAAAACTTACGTTACTTAATTTATAGCTGGATGGTTGCTTATAAAATATTTTGGGATTTAGCTGTCATTGACTCATCTACTGATACCATGTTTTTCTTTTCTTTAGGTATCCGAAAGGCATTCATGTGGAGACTTTAGAAACTGAAAAGGTAACCCCAAGAATTATCTAGCGCTAACATTAAACACATTCATTGTTACGCTGATATGGGTTTCGTTTTTTTTTTTTCTCAGGATCTTGCTCTGATTGCCCAGGCTGGAGTGCAGTGGGGTGATCACAGCTCACTGCAGCCTTGACTTCCTGGGTTCTGGTGATTCTCCTACGTCAGCCTCCCAGGCTGGGACTTCAGGCTCGTGCCACCATGCCTGGCTAATTTTTTATATTTTTAGTAGAGACAGCGTTTCGCCCTGTTGTCCAGGCTGGTCTTGAACTCCTGGGCTCAAACATTTTGCCCGCCTCGGCCTCACAGAGTGAGCCACAGCAGTGACCTGAGCCACTGCCCGCAATCCCTAGTGTGCTGAAAGTCAGAATTTGTACCTTGTCTATGCTTGCTATGAGCTGGGTAACCTAGGGTAAGTCATTTGACCTCTTTAAGCCTCATTTTCCTCTTCTGTACATTGGGGCTGAGCATGATAACAGTGATCTATACTTTCTCATAGCCTTTTTATGGTTATACTGTGGGTAAGCGGAAGTGATGCTTTGTAAACTTGAAAGTATACAAATGTTAGTTTGTATTCTTAGTATGGCAGAAAGCTATAATGGTACATGTGAAGAAATGGCTTCATGTTGCGTGGGTAGATAAAACTAAATTTTAGAATCCTGGTCGTAAGCATAGCTATTGTCTTGGGTATGCAGGGTACACTGATAGAATTGTGATGGATAGTGGGTGGCTAGTGGTGGGTTCCTTCTGCAGTGTTTGAATTTTATAATTGTTGTTGCTCTTAAGTCAGGTATAAAATTAGAGATTAAATAAAGTAGAAAAATAATCTTGATAGATGATTTATCTTTAGTGGACACAAAATATATATGAGGAAGAAAGCACTAGTTATCTGACACGTTGGCAGAAAATCCAGGGTTTTTTCTTACGTTAATACAACATATATGTGTAAGTTTTGTTAATGTTAATACAACATATGCATTTTACTTTAAAACTCTTCAGAAATCGATGTTCAAATGCAACATAACTTTTTTAGTATTTGTCATAGGAAATGTCTTATTCTCACAGTCTGTTGATATTTTTAACTGATGTCTGTTGGGTTGAATTAGTAAACTGTAGGAAAATGTCATGGAAACACAGAGACAAAATTTGGTTTGTAATGCATCAGCTCAACTTATGTTGGCATTTCAAAGTGTTTTCCGTTATATTTGGCTCATGAAAGACTGTAGTGACTGGGCATGGTGGCTCAGGCCTGTAATCCCAGCACTTTGAGAGGCTGAGATGAGCAGGTCATTTGAGCCCAGGAGTTTGAGACCAGCCTGGACTCATGGTGAAACTCTGTCTCTACTAAAAATATAAAAAGAAATTAGCCAGGCATAGTGGTACATTCCTGTAGTCCCAGCTCCTCAGAAGGCTGAGGTAGGAGGATCACCTGAGTCCAGGAATTTGAGGCTACAGTGAGCTGTGATCATGCTGCTGCACTCCAGCCTGAGCGATGGAAGTGATAACCTGTCACATACAAAAAGAAGTGTGTAGTTACAAAAATTATAACTTCTGGCTGGGCATGGTGGCTCATGCCTGTAATCTCTGCACTTTGGGAGGCCAAGGTGGGCAGATCACTTGAGGTCAGGAGTTTGAGACCAGCCTGGGCAACATGGTGAAACCTTGTCTCTACTAAAAATACAAAAATTAGCGGGGCATATTGGTGCGCACCTGTAATCTTGGCTACTCTGGAGGCTGAGGCAAGAGAATTGCTTGAACCTGGGAGGTAGAGGCTGCAGTGAGCTGAGGTTGTGCTACTGCACTCCAGCCTGGGTGACAGAATGAGACTGTCTCAAAAAAAAAAAAAAAAAAATTCTAATGGCAGCAGAAGTCTGAATTTTTTGGATTAAGTTGCCTCTAGAAAATTGTGTATCTGTGGCCGGGCGCATGACTCACACCTGTAATCCCAGCACTTTGGGAGGCTAAGGCGGGTGGATCACCTGAGGTCGAGAGTTTGAGACCAGCCTGACCACCATGAAGAAACTCTGTCTGTACTAAAAATACAAAAATTAGCTGGGTGTGGTGGCACATACCTGTAATCCCAGCTACTCGGGAGGCTGAGGTAGGAGAATCGCTTGAACCCAGGAGGTGGAGGTTGCAGTGAGCCGAGATCGTGCCATTGCACTCCAGCCTGAGCAACAAGAGCGAAACTCTGTCGCCAAAAAAAAAAAAAAAAGGAAAAGGAAAAGAAAATTATGTATCTGCTTTATGTCTTTTAGAAGGAGCGATACATAGTTATCAGCAAAGTAGATGAAGAAGAACGCAAAAGAAGAGAGCAGCAGAAACATGCCAAAGAACAGGTAATTGGGCTATGTTAGTTCTTGGGGGGTGAGAAATGGCAACATAAATATTGATTTATTCCTGTCTAGTTCAGATCATATGTTGGATTCAATTTAATGAATAATTTTCTTTTATAGAACAATTGAATTGGCAGAAAAACCTGGACTAGAATAAGGGGAAGTTAGGTTTAAGCATGAGACATAGCCAGCAAAGTGAGTCTGACGTCACTGTTGACCAGTGTCTACTTAAACCAGTCCTTGAAGAAAGTATTCTTGATTCTCATTTAGCTTGTGTGTCACTGCCCTTTAATACTGCCACGTCTAACTTCATGTATAGTTACTAGTTTTCCTTAAACCAAGTTCAGAGCACATGATCTGACAGATGAGGATGACATGCTTAGGTTGTGCCATTGGAACATCATCCTGCTTGCTATATGAAGAATGGTTTTGAGTGAGTAAGACTGGAGGCAGGAGACCAGTTAAGCTGTGGAGTAACCTAGCTAGGAGATGTTGGTGACCTGGCATAGGATAGTAAGTAGCAGTATAGATGGGATCTGGAGATATTTGGAAGGTAGAATCCATGGAATTTATGACTGGATGTGGGTGGTGGAGGAGGAAGGGGGAAGGAGGAAAATGCTTATGCCAGACATTTGCACAATGGGGTAGATTGCGTTCCGTTCACTTGGAGGAGTTGGCTGGAGTGACATTGGTCGGGGGAAAGGTGGAGGAGAGAGGAGTAGGTTTGCATGTGGATGAATGTCATGCTCATACGTACATTAGGCGGGGTCACTCCTGATTGACTCAACCAGTAAAGATACAACGACCCACTTTGGGAGACAGCATATTACCTGTACGGAGAAAGATGAGCAAAAGGTGCTGCCTGTGGTCCCTGTCCCCCATACTAAAAAGGAAAACGCAGAAACAAAAGGTGCCAGTTAGAAGCCAGGTACGGTGGCTCATGCCTATAATCTCAGCACTACTTTGGGAGGCTGAGGCAGGTGGATCACTTTGAGCTCAGTAGTTCGAGACCAGTCTGAGCAACATAGTGAAACCCCATCTCTACAAAAATACAAAAATCATCCAGGTGTGGTGATATGCACCTGTGGTCCTAGCTACTTGGGAGGCTGATGCTGGAGAATTGCTTGAACCCAGGAGGTGGAGGTTGCAGTTGCAGTGAGTTGAGTTTATGCTACTGCACTCCAGCTTGGGTGACAGAGTGAGACCTTGTCTTAAAAAAAAAAAGAAACAGTGCGAGATGATTGCAGTGTGTGTTGTGTGATGTGACTTCACTTAGGAACCAGTTCTAGGCCACAGCTCAGGGCTTTGGTATTCTGCAGCTCTCTTCTGAGAAGACGAGGCAGAGAGCCTCACACGTCCTCAGAATCCAGGAGGCGATGAGGAACTGTTTCATGACAGCCTCCCAGGAGTGACAGGCAAGGGGGTGGGAGCTGGCCTCATAGCTGCTCCTTAGAAGCCTGTGCCTCCCACTCTTCCCTCCTGATGTGTTCTGCCAAGATGCAGATGAGTCTGTAGCCAAGACGCAGATTAGCCTTTACCTGCATGACCTGTTTTGATACATGCGAGGCCACCAGGGCACCATGGCGTCCCCTAGAGTGGAAAAAGACGTTCCCCCAGAGTGGAAAAAGATGTTCCATTCTGGTTTTGACCTGATGAGATTTTGGGTGTTTTCAGAACATGCAAGGGTGGATATCCTCTCAGCAGGTTTGTCAGTGTTGAGCACAGAAGAGAGGTGAGGGCTAGGCATGATTGTCATTGGCAGAAAGACTGGGACTGGATCAGAGCAACTGCGGAGTACATGAAGAATGAAAAGAGGATCTGGGACTGAATCCTGAGGATGAACAGCATTTAAATGATAGGCAGAAGTTGACAAAATGTACCAGGAGATTATTGTGGTACACAGCCAAGGGAAGCAGTGTCAGCTCCCATGTAGGGGTTAGGATTGAGACATGGCTGGATTCAGCCCTGGCAGTAGTTTTTTAAACTATAATTAAAACAGTTTTTCCTTATCTCTACTAAAAGAACAAAAAAATTAGCCGGGCGCGGGGGCATGCACCTGCATTCCCAGCTACTCAGGAAGCTGAGGCAGGAGAATTGCTTGAACCTGGGAGGCGGAGGTTGCTGTGAGCCGAGATCATGCCACTGCACTCCAGCCTGGGCGACAAAGTGAGACTCTGTCTCAAAAACAAAAAACAGAACCAAAAAAGCAATTTTTGTTTGTTTGAAACGGAGTCTCGCTTTCAGTGACATGATCTTGGCTCACTGCAACGTCTGTCTCCTGAGTTCAAGCGATTCTCCTGCCTCAGCTTCCAGAGTAGCTGGGATTATAAGTGCCCGCCACCGCTCCTGGCTTTTGTATTTTTAGTAGAGATGGGGTTTCGCCATGTTGGCCAGCCAGGTCTTTAACTCTTGACCTCAGTTGGTCTGCTTTCCTCAGCCTCCCAAAGTGCTGGGATTACAGGCGTGAGCCACCATACCTGGCCCAAAAAAACCAATTTTTAATTGTGGTAAGATACACATAACAAAATGTATTATGTTAACTATTAAATGTACAGTTCACTGACATCAAATACTTTAACATGGCTGTGCAATCATCACCACCATCCATCTCCAGAATTCTCTTTATCTTGCAAAACTGAAACTCTGTACTAATCAAGCAACTCACCATCTCCCACCCCAGACACCCCCCCACCTCGGCAACCACTACTCTACTTTTTGTCATATGAATTTGATCACTCTGAGGACCTCATGTAAGTACAGTATTTGTCCTCCTGTGACTGGCTTATTTCTCTTAGCATAGCATCCTCAAGGTTCACCATGTTATAGCATGTGTCAGAATTTCCTTCTTTTTTAAGGCTGAATAATATTCCATTGTATGGCTAGACTACATTTTGTTTATCCATTTGTTTATGGACACTTGGGTTGCTTTTGACTATTGTGAATAATGCTTTTGTGAACTCAGGTGTGCAAATACCTATTTGAGTCCCTGCTTTCAATTCTTTGGGATATATACCCAGAATGGAATTGCTGGGTGATATGGGAATTCTTTTTGGGATGAACCTCCATACTGTTTTCCTTAGCTGCTGCACTGTTTAGCATTTTCATCAACAGCACACAGGTTCCAGTTTCTCTACATCCTTGCAAATACTTGTTAGTCTTGGGGTTAGTTTTTTGTTGTTGGGTTTTTTTTGTTTTTTGGGTTTTTTTTTTGAGATGGAATTTTGCTCTTGTTGCCCAGGCTGGAGTGCAATAGCACGATCTCGGCTTACTGCATGCAACCTCCGTCTCCCGGGTTCAAGCGATTCTCCTGCCTCAGCCTGTGGCATAGCTGGGATTACAGGCATGCACGACCACGTCTGGCTTATTTTTTATTTTTAGTAGAGATGGGGTTTCACCATCTTGGTCAGGCTGGTCTCGAACTCCGGACCCCAAGTGATCCATCTGCCTCTGCCTCCCAAAGTGCTGTGAGCCACCGCGTCTGGCCAGTGTTGGGGTTAGTTTTAAGGAGGTGAGCAATTTCAGTGAGCATGAAGCCAGAGGACTGGGAACACCTGGGAATTAAACTGGAGAAGTCCTTCAAGTTAGCTTTGATGAGATAAGTAGAAGGGGCGGTAGTCTGAGAAAGCTTAGAGGAGGGGAGCATTTTCAAGATAGGAGAGACACTGAGCCAGTTTCAACACTGCTGGAAAGAATATAGAAGAGAAGAAGGTGGGTGGGAGAATTTTGTAAAAATGTATTTTTCAAGGAAAAAAATCAGGAATTATGAAAATGCTTGATTTGATCAGTTAACTGCCAGATGGGTTTCCTCAGAATTGCATGTGTTACTGAGTTTAGCCTGCAGGTGGCGACTTTTTAAGTTAGTGTTTTTAAGATACCTTGAAAGACTTGAAAATGTTAAAGAATTCAGTGAAGTGATGGGTAAATCCTAAGCATTGTTATTTTAGTAACTAATGAATAATTTTCCATTTGTTCATTCTACTTTCTAAAATAGAGGAAAAGTATGTGCGTAGATCATTTTAGATGCAGATGTTTGGAAAGATAGGCACAAAGCACAGGAAACTAAAGCTATCTAACTTGATACAAAATTTCAGTGTCTTTTTTTCGGGTAGGTTTTTAATTCATTCACATAAGGAATATTTATACATCAGTAATACTTGTATATATTTTTTTAATTAGGAGGAGCTGAATGATGCTGTGGGGTTTTCTAGAGTCATTCATGCCATTGCTAATTCGGTAAGTGAGCCAGACTTTTTAGCAAGATTGCAGAGCATACTATTTCAGGTGAAGTATCTAATTATCATTGCAGATTAATCATTTCATCTCATTTAGAATGTTTACCTGGTATGAAGGAAGAAGTTAGAACTTCATCAAGATAGACTATTGTTATAATGCACTTGGTGAGACATTATTGCTAAATTATATTCAAATCAATTTTCAGAGAGCCTTGCTTGAAAAATGCCTAGGAGGGTTACACTATGTTGTCCTTATATGACTACATGGAAACCAAGTTATTCTCAAAACCAGTAAGAAGTCGAATAAGAAAGTAAGGAATAAGGGGAGAAACAATAGATATTTGACTGAAGGTGTTTTGTTCCCTAAGTAGAAGAATCTAGACGGTAAAAATAATGATGTCTTTGTTTATGCTGCATAAATGTAATTGAATCTTATTCTTAATAATATTTGATACGTTTTAAAAAGATATTGGCCATTTGTGTAAATGTTCTAGGGGACTCTATGATAGATATGATGGGTGTTTTTCCTTGCTTTGTGAGGCCTTTCTGAAAACAGGTGGCCGGGCATAGTGGCTCATGTCTGTAATCCCAGCACTTTGGGAGGCTGATGCGGGTGGATTGCTTGAGCTCAGGAGTTTGAGACCAGCCTGGGAAACGTGGGGAAACCCCATCTCTACTAAAAATACAAAAATTAGCCAGGTGTGGTGGTACATGCCTGTGGTTCCAGCTACTTGGGAGGCTGAGGTGGGAGGATCACTGGAGCTCGGGAAGTCAAGGCTGCAGTGAGCTGTGATCATGCCATTGCACCCCAGCCTAGGTGACAGACTAAGATCCTGTCTCAAAAAAAAAAAAAAAGAAAACAGGCATCCACATCTTGTGCAGGTAAACTGGGTCATGCTGCTGGTTGTTCTAGACAGACAACTTGCTTGGATGCTAAATTGCCTGTAGTCTAGGACATTCTCTTCTTTGAGCACAGCCCTTGGAGAAGGAATCATCTTGTACCTTAGATGCTGAACTTTGCATCAGGGAAGCTTTAAGGCCATAGAAACCCTCTCAAAGTTTCATGCTGTCTCACTGCTGGCTGCAGGCTTGTAAACACAGGGGCGCTGTAGGGGAGGCCCCCCACTGTCTTCATTCCGGAATAAACAGAGGTTTACAGAGCCTTGTAAAAGAAGAGGGTTGGCTCAAGAGGACCTCTCTCGCTCAAGTAAGTGGGGCGATTAAAGTCTAATAGAAAGTTGGATAGATCCAGATAGAAACAAAGCTGTGAGCCTGTTCAGCAGTGGCTGAGATTATAGGTATCCAGAAAAGCAGAATTGAGTTTCTGGTTCCATTTGCTCATGTTGTGCAGTCCTTGCTAGCAGACTTCAGATAAGTGATGGTTTTGATTCAGGCGGGCCCTAAAATTCAGAGATATGGAACATCAGTTGGTTTTGAGCTCTTCTGTAGCCATCATGATAATTTAGTCAGCTTTTCTGAGATTGGACATTTGTTTGCCTTACACACATTCAGATACCTTAGTTTGCTGTACCTGTTTTCTTTTCTCTGACATCTTTCTTCTACAGAATATTCATAACATGTTGCTGACCTTTGGTAGTCAACATCCCAAAGCATACTACAAAAAAGCCCTGTTTATTAGCAATCTGGACATTTAAAATTTTTGAGTCTTCAATGAAAGTTGACTAAAATAAGATGCATAAATCCCATACCTTAAATATGTATATTTTTTGAGCTGGAGCCTCACTCTGTTACCCTGCTGGAGTGCAGTGGCGCGATCCTGGCTCACCACAACCTCTGCCTACCAGGTTCAAGCAATTCTCCTGCCTCAGCCTCCCAAGTAGCTGGGATTACGGGTGCCTGCTACCACGCCTGGCTAATTTCTGGTCTTTCACCATGTTGGCCAGGTTGGTCTTGAGCTCCTGACCTCAAGTGATCTGCCTGCCTCAGCCTCCCAAGGTACTGGGTTTACAGGCGTGAGCCACCGTGCCCGGCCCTATAACTTGGATACTTTTGAATGATATTGATTGCTGTTTTGTCAGAAGTCCCCCAGTTGAAATTTGTCTCACATTTTCTAATGACTGATCTGAGGATATATGGTTTGGCAAGAATACCACAGAAATGATGGTTCATGATGTTGTTGTTTTTTTTTTTTTGAGAGGGAGTGTTGCTTTGTCGCCCAGGCTGGAGTGCAGTGACGCGATCTTGGTGTACTGCAAGCTCCGCCTCCTGGGTTCACGCCATTCTTCTGCCTCAGCCTCCCGAGTAGCTGGGACTACGGGCGCCCACCACCACACCTGGCTAATTTTTTGGTATTTTTAGTAGAGACGGGGTTTCACCATGTTAGCCAGGATGGTCTCAGTCTTCTGACCTTGTGATCCACCTGCCTCGGCCTCACAAAGTGCTGGGATTACAGGTGTGAGCCACCGCGCCCTGCCCATGATGTTGATCTTGATCGCTTGGTTAAGGTGGTGTCGGCTGGATTTGTGTTCTGTGAAATTAACTTTATAGTTAACAAATTAACTATATCATTAAATTATAGTTAAATTAACTATATAGTTTAATTGACTTTATAGTTTATAAATATCTTAGGGGAGATACTTTGAGACCATGAAAATCCTGTTTTCCCCCAAACTTTGCCTATTAATATTATCGTCTATCAGCATATCTTTCCTGCAGTAGTTATTACTGTGGTATTCTGATGGCAAGTTTCTATTTCCTTTGTCCTTTCTACATTTGTTCTTGGAATTCTTCTATAAAGAAAAAAATGGGCTGGGCATGGTGGCTCAAACCTGTAATCCCAGTACTTTGGGAGGCTGAAGCGGGCGGATCACTGGAGGTCAGGAGTTCGACACCAGCCTAACCAACATGGTGAAATCCCATCTCTACTAAAAATACAAAAATTAACTGAGCATGGTGGCACACACCTGTAATCCCAGCTACTTGGGAGGCTGAGGCAGGAGAATCGCTTGAACCTGGGAGGCGGAGGTTGCAGTAACCTGAGATTCCATTGCACTCCAGCCTGGCGACAAAGTTGAGACCCTGTCTCAAAAAAAAATTGGGGGGAAAAGAAAAAAATGTCTTTTTCCCCTGTTTATTTATGTACTTACTTAATTTTGAGACACAGTCTCTCTCTGTTCCCCAAGCTGGGAGTACACTGGGAGTACACTGGCTCACTGCAGCCTCCACCTCCCAGGCTCAAGCGATCCTCCCTCCTTGGCCCCCCGACTAGCTGGGACTAAAGGCATGCGCTACCACATGCGGCTAATTTTTTATATATATTTTTTGTGGAGAGGAGATCTTCCCATGTTGTCCAGACTGGTCTTGAACTCTTAGGCTCAAGCAGTCTCCCCCACCTCACCCTCCCAAAGTGTTTGAGTTATAGGCATGAGCCACCACACCCAGCCCTTTCCTGTTTATTTAATTGTTTTTATGTATATGAGTATGAGCTCAGGGATTTTTTTTATTCTACAGATTATTATCTAGTGTTTTTGCTGTTTACTTTGTTGCTTAAATTGTACCACCTTTGACCATTGGAGCTTCTTTGACTTGGCTCCTGTGTCCTTTGAACAAGCACCCTGTCCTTTTCTGAGCATTTCCTTGCTTTCTGGTATTCTTGTAGTTTCTCTGGCTCAGTTGTGGAATGAATGACTTCTCCATGGAGCTTTGGTCCCTTTTAATGGGGAATGAAATTTAGAAACCAAGATCTGGCCCTAGGTTACTGCTGTGATATTATTGCTTCTAAGCCCTCTCACTGGACAGAGCTAAGAAGCATATGTATGTAGACCTAGGCATGTACACACACCGCTATATTTCTGTGTCTCTCTGTGTATGTATGTGTGTGTGGAGCTATATAAATGTGTATGTAGCTGGGCATGGTGGCTCAACCCTGTAATCCCACACTTAGGGAGGTCAAGGCAGGAGGACTGCTTGAGGCCAGTAGTTCAAGACCAGCCTGGGCAACGTGGGAGACCCCGTCTCTACAAAAAATGTAAAAATTGACTGGGTGTGTGTCTGACGCCTGTAATCCCAGCACTTTGAGAGGCCAAGGCGGGCAGATCACGTGAGGTCAGGAGTTTGAGACCAGCCTGGCCAACATGGTGAAACCCCGTCTCTACTAAAAATACAAAAATTAGCCGGTGTGGTGGTGCCACCTGTAGTATCAGCTACTCAGGAGGCTGAGGCAGGAGAATCTCTTGAACCTGGAAGGTGGAGGTTGTAGTGAGCTGAGATTGTGCCACCGCACTCCAACCTGGGCAACGGAGCAAGACTGCATTTCAAAAAAAAAAAAAAAAAATTAAAAAATTAGCCAAGAGTGGTGGCACATGCCTGTGGTCCCAGCTATAGGGGAGGCTGAGGTGGGAGGATTGCTTGAGCATGGGAGTTTGAGGCTGCAGTGAGCCATGATGGTGCCATTGCACTACAGCCTGGGCAACAGTGAGACCCTATCTCTAAATAAATGTGTGTGTGTGCGCACGTGCGCATGTGCGCATGGGTGTATCCACGCCTTTATACCGATACCTCAGATTCCAGTACAATACCACATGACTTATTTTTAGCTTCCTCTCTTTTCTTATTTGTGCCTTCTTTCTCAACAGTGAGAAATCCAGTTCCTTTTACTTCCATTATGTTTATTTGTTTAAACCTGGTATACACATAAAATAGCTTCAGAGCTACTAACCCATACCTCGTGAGAAGTACATTTATTGATGAGATTATAACACTTATGATTTATGTGCAATTCTTTTTGTTTTTAGCTTTACATTATCTAGTCAAGATGCTCTTTTCCAAGTTAGTTTGTTTCTTCTTAACCTTCAGTGTGATTATGGTAGTCGTTTATAATATAGTTTGGTTCATTTCTTAGTGTTTGCATTCCATTTGGGGTTGCCTGCACATCTTTTCTGTGGTTTCAATCAATGTTCATTATTTTAGCTTAGCATAGGTATTCAGAATGTACAACAATACTGAGCCAAAAGGACAGCTTCTCTGTTAGATTTGGGAGATTTTGTGTAGGATTATTTCAGATAATGTGTAGTCCCATGAGTCAAGCAGTGTTACACTGAAGGTCCTTTGGGACATAGTAAAAAGCTCCATCGTGGTAACCTGATTTTTTTTTTTTTTTGAGATGGAGTCTGGCTCTGTCACCCAGGCTGGAGTGCAGTGGTACGATCTCAGCTCACTGCAACCTCTGCCTTCTGGGTTCAAGCCATTCTCTTGCCTCAGCCTCCCGAGTAGCTGGGATTACAGGCATCTGCCACCACACCCAGGTAATTTTTTGTGTTTTTATTAGAGACAGGGTTTCGCCATGTTGGGCAGGCTGTTCCCGAACTCCTGACCTCAGGTGATCTGCCTGCCTTGGCTTCCCAAAGTGCTGGGATTACAGGCGTGAGCTACCATGCCTGGCCCCTGATGTTTTATGTTAAAAATGGTGTCAACTGGCTGGCTAAATCTAAGTTGATGTTGCATTTTGGAAGTTTAATTTTTGTCAAAATGGACTAATTTGTTGCACATATAGCATAAGACAGACACACTGTCCATTGCACGAAAAGGGCTGCCAGCGCATATATTGTATTTCAGTTGGCTGAAAGGCAGTGACTTTTAATGGATACGTATTTAAGAACATACCCCATGAATTTTGACATAATGATATAGGAAATGCAATTCTGTTTAATATAGTTAGAAATTAGTTTTTTTTTACCTTTTAGCATTGGTATGAATGTATCTTTTAAAATAAATGGGTTGTTTTAAAGGATGCAGCCCTAAAATTTGTGTTTAGTTTTGTTCCCAAATTATTTGACAGTTTAAGGGAGTCAATGCTTTCAGATTTTACTGTTTTTTTTTTTAGACAGATTCTCATTCTGTCACCTAGGCTGGAGTGCAGTGGCACAATCTTGGCTCACTGCAGCTCTGCCTCCTGGGTTCCAGCGATTCTCCGGCCTCAGCCTCCTGGGTAGCTGGGATTACAGGCATGCACCACCACACCTGGCTAATTTTTCTATTTTTAGTAGAGATAGGATTTCGCCGTGTTGGCCGGGCTGGTCTTGAACTGCTGACCTCAGGTGATCCACCCACCTTGACCTCTGAAAGTGCTGGGATAACGATCGTGAGCCACCATGCCCAGCCCAGATTTTACTTTTAAAAAAACTTTTCAATCAAAATTTTACTACTTCTGATGCATGAGGGTGGCATAATTAATAAAAATTCAAGAAAAAGATCAGTGACATCAAAGTCATTTGGAGCTTTCACTTTGCCTTCTGGAGTTAACATTCCAAAATGGAGGAGGAATGAAGCCAGCTCAAATTTGCTTATTTGTACTTTGTTTTTGTTTTTGTTTTCGTTTTTTTTTAGTGTGGAAAGCAAGTTTAGAACAAAGTCCTCTTGGAATCTGAACTATACATCCTCAAACCCCAGTATAATTTTGAATGTACAAGTCTTTTTTCTAACCTTGACTTTCTTTAGGGAAAACTTGTTATTGGACACAATATGCTCTTGGACGTCATGCACACAGTTCATCAGTTCTACTGCCCTCTGCCTGCGGTAAGTGACCTGTTGGTCTGTGTTAAATATTAGCAGGATGCTTTTTATCTGAAAAAATATTATGATGCTTTTAACTGAGAAACTGTCCTCTACTTGGGTGCAATTTCCTTGTATGCAGCATGTTCCCAGACAGAATCTTATGTGCTCAGTTGCACTTTTTTTTTCCTTGAGACGTACTTTTGCTCTGTTGCCCAGGCTGGAGTGCAGTGGCGCAGTCTTGGCTCACTGCAACCTCCACCTCTCGAGTTCAAGCGATTCTCCTTCCTCAGCCTCCTGAATAGCTGGGATTACAGGCACCCGTCACCATGTCCAGCGAATTTTTGTATTTTTAGTAGAGATGGGGTTTCACCATGTTGGCCAGGCTGGTCTCGAACCCCTGACCTCATGATCCGCCTGCCTTGGCCTCCTATAGTGCTGGGATTACAGGCGTGAGCCACTGCACATGGCCACAAGCTTTTTTATTAAGGGATCTTCAGTCACTGCCATTGCCAGAGAAAGATTAAACATTTGTTTCATCGTCTTAATGCCAGTAGTTTGCTCATTTAGTGCTGGGCAGGGATTCCCAGGCCACAGGTGTGGGCTGCTAGTTTGGTCCTGCTAAAATTAGACATAGCATGGCCATTGAAGATAAGTGGTGGCAGCTGAAGTGAGTCCAGTCCTACAGAATTCTTGATCGTCCCTGTTAGGCTGCTTCCCTTAGATTCTCTGCTGACCTCAGTAGTGCTTTTTTCAGTCTTTGAGCCAAGTTGCCTTGGTTGACCAAAGCACAAGATGCTTTGGTTCCCCTACTGGTTCTCCCTCTTCTGCTCCATACGATGTGCGTGGCCTCACGTTACTTGTCCCCCGCCACTCTGTGCTCCACTCTCTCTTATTTCCTCTTCATCTTTTTTTGTCTTTTAGTGATCTCACTGACTTTACAGCTTCAGCTGTAGACACCAACATCTTTATCCCCAGCTGTGGTCTCTTTTCAGATCCAGGTATACATTTCATGCTGGACTCCAGAAATCCCTACCTGGATAGCCCCCAGACTAAGTGTTGTATTGAATTGACATGGCTCAAATGAGATATTTCACTTGTACTTCTTTTCTTTTTTATTGTCTCCAAACCACTTCTTTCTCCTCATCCCATTACCATAAGTGATTCCCAGTTACCAACCCTGTTTTTAGCATCAGTTTTGACTCTAGCTGTCCCCAGATCTGGTCATTTCCAACATCCTGACAATTTTATCTCCATGCCCTCTCTCACATCTGGTTTCTTTTCTTTTTTTCTTTTCTTTTTTTTTTTGAGATGGAGTCTCACTCTTTCACCAGACTGGAGTGCAGTGGCATGATCTCGGCTCACTGCAACGTCCGTCTCCTGGGTTCAAGTGATTCTCCTGCCTCAGCCTTCCGAGTAGCTGGGACTACAGGCGTGTGCCACCACGCCCAGCTGTTTTTTTTGTATTTTTAGTAGTGACGGGGTTTCACCGTGTTGGCCATGATGATCTCAATCTCCTGACCTTGTGATCCACCCACCTTGGCCTCCCACAGTGCCGGGATTACAGGCGTGAGCCACTACGCCCAGCTGATTCTTTTTATTTTTGTTGCAAGCGTTCTCATTTCTCACCTTGGAATTTAGCAAATTCCAGGCAGTATTTCCTGCCCCCTTCAACCTTCAGCCCATCCTTTAAAATAAAAGTTGGCAAATGTTTTCTATAAAGGGCCACATAGTAAAATATTTTCAGCTTTCCAGGCTGTATAGTTTCTGTCACAATTCTCAGCTCTGCCATTGTAGCCCCCAAATGCCATATAATATGTCAACAAATGGGTGTAGCCGTGTTGCAATATAACTTTATTTAAAAAATAATTGGTGGGCTGTATTTGGCCTGTGGACCATAGTATGCCACTGGACTAATCTTTTTCTTTTTTTTAAATAATTTTTTTCCCCCATATCTTTTTTTTTTTTTTTTTTTTTTTTAGAGACAGTGTCTCAGTCTGTCGCCAGGCTGGAGTGCAGTGGTGCAATGTCGCTCACTGCAACCTCCACCTCCCAGGTTCAAGTGATTCTCCTGCCTCAGCCTCCTGAGTAGCTGGGACTACAGGCATGCACCACCACACCCTGCTAATTTTTTTGTATTTTTAGTGGAGACAGGGTTTCACCATGTTGGCCAGGATGGTCTAGACCTCCTGGCCTCGTGATCCACCTGCCTTGGCCTCCCAAAGTGCTGGGATTACAGGCATGAGCCACCGTGTACGGCCTTCCCCATATCTTTTTAATAAAATAGAGACTAGGTCTTGCTCTGTTGCCCAGGCTGATCTCAAGGTGTTGGGCTCAAGTAGTCCTCCTGCCTCATCCTCCTGAGTAGGTAGAACTATAGGCATGCACTACCATGCCCAGCTAAAAGATTAATTTTTGTTACTTCTGGATTGGAAGGCACCCGCTTGAGAGTTCAGTCTCACGTATACATTGCAAACCTTCAGTTACTTCACATTTCTTAGGTCCCGTTGTTCTGTCAGCATTTTGATTACCCTCCTTTAAAAGAGTACAATACAGACCAGTCATCAGTGGGTCAGTTGCTCCCCTTGTATTTCTGAAAATTTAGGTTGTCTTCACTTTTTATGACAGCTCTATCACCTTCTAACACATTTTAGGACTCAAAGACTTCATAGTTGTGGGTCTCAAAACAAGTGTGACAGGCGTGGAATTGCATTTCTTTTTTTTTTTTTTTTTTTTTGAGACTGAGTTTCGCTCTGTGGCCCAGGCTGGAGTGCAGTGGCGTGATCTCTGCTCACTGCAACCTCCACTTCCTAGGTTTAAGTGACTCTCCTGCCTCAGCCTCCTGAGTAGCTGGGATTACAGATGCCTGCTACCATGCCAGGCTAATTTTTGTATGTTTAGTAGAGACAGGGTTTCACCATGTTGGCTTGGCTGGTCGTGAACTCCTCATCTCAGGTGATCCACCCGCCTCCGCCTCCCAAAGTTCTGGGATTACAGGTGTGAGCCACCGTGCCTGGCCCGGATTGACATTTCTTAAGTCTAATGAGCTAATGTTTATTTTATGTCACCCACCACACTTCTGTTTTTTTTTTTTTCTCTTTCCCACTTTGTTTTTTTTTTTTTTGAGATGGAGTCTCACTTGGTTACCTAGGCTGGAGTGCGGTGGTGGGATCTCAGCCTCCTGGGTTCAAGTGATTCTCCTGACTCAGCCTCCCGAGTAGCTGGGATTACAGGCGCCCGCCACCATGCCTGGCTAATTTTTATGTTTTTAGTAGAGACAGGGTTTCACCATGGTGGCCAGGCTGGTCTTGAGCTCCTGACCTCAGGATCTACCTGCCTCTGCCTCCCAAAGTACTGGGATTACAGGTATGAGCCACCGCGCTAGGCCTGGATTTGCATTTCTTAAGTCTAATGAGCTAATGTTTATTTTATATCACCCCACTTCTGTTTTTTTTTCTTTTCTTTTTTCTTCTCTTTCATACCTTTTTTTTTAAGATGGAATCTTACTCCGTCACCTAGGCTGGAATGCAGTGGTGCAGTCTCGGCCCACTGCAACTTCCGTCTCCTAGGTTCAAGCGATTCTACTGCCTCAGCCTCCTGAGTAGCTAGAATAAACAGGCGCCTGCCACCATGCCCAGCTAATTTTTGTATTTGTAGTAGAGATGGGATTTCGCCATGTTGGCCAGGCTGGTCTCGAACTCCTGACCTTAGGTGATCTGCCTACCTGGGCCTCCCAGAGTGCTGCGATTACAGGCGTGAGACATTATGCCCAGCCATTTTTTTTTTCTTTCTTTTCTGGGAGAGTGTCTTGCTCTGTCACCCAGGCCGGAGTGCAGTGGCGCGATCATGGCTCACTGTAGCCTCAACTCCCCAGGCTCAAGTGGTACTCCTACCTCAGCCTCTCGAGTAGTTGGGACCACAGGTACATGCCACCTCGCCTGACTGTTTTGTAAGTTTTGTAGAGACATGATCTCACCATTTGCCCATGCTGGTCTTGAACTCCTGTGCTCAAGAGGTCGGCCCACCTCAGTCTCCCAAAGTGCTAAGATTATAGATGTGAGCTACCACACCTGGCCAGATCACCCACTTCTTATTGGCCAAGTAGATCAAAGTAGCAGCTCTTCTCTTGACTGTTTAACCTTTATTATTTATTTATTTATTTAGTTAGTTAGTTAGTTAGTTTTGAGACAGTCTTGCTCTGTGACCCAGGGTGGAGTGCAGTGGCGCCATCTTGGCTCACCACAACCTCTGCCTACGGATTCAAGTGATTCTCCTGCCTTAGCCTCCTAAGTAGCTGGGATTATAGGCACCTGCCACCATGCCCAGCTAATTTTTATATTTTCGGTAGAGACGGAGTTTCACCATGTTGGCCAGGCTGGTCTTGAACTCCTGACTTCAAGTGATCCACCAACCTGCTTTGGCCTCCCAAAACTCTGGGATTACAGGTGTGAGCCACCACGCCCAGCCTGTTCATTTATTTTTTGAGACAGAGTCTCACTCTGTCGCCAGGCTGGAGTGCAGTGGTGTGATTTTTTGGCTCACTGCAACCTCCCTCTCCCAGGTTCAAGTGATTCTCATGTCTCAGTCTCCCGAGTAGCTGGGTAAGGTATATGCCACCACATCTGGCTAATTTTTGTATTTTTGTATTTTTTTTTTAGTAGAGATGGGATTTCACCATGCTTGCCAGGCTGGTCTCAAACTTCTGGCCTCAAGTGATCCACCCTCTCGGGCTTCCAAAGTGCTGGGATTACAGGAATGAGCCACCATGCCCAGCCCTTTTTGATCTTTAAAGCAATGAAGTTATCAGGAAGGCAAGAAGAAAATGTATTTAATTCTGTGCTTCTAGGTGTTTTGAATACTGAGTAGAGCTTGGCACTAGAAGGCATTAAATATCGATTTAATGAATGAAGTATCTCCCGACTGCCAGTTTTGTAATCTTCTGATGTATGGCTCCGTTTCTGTCGCTGAACCTGCTGAAAATTCTAAATTAATCCCACACTCTTTGTTTTCTAGGCAGTTGAGTGTTTTTACCCCTGCATATCAGGCTTTTCTGTGATCCAGCCCAACCTTTCTGTGGAGTCTAATAACTTGTTTGTTACTCTCCTTTTTCCAAGACTGACTTATTTGTTCCCTAAGAGGTGCTTTGTTTAATTTCTTCCAACTTGAATTTTCTTTTGTTGTTCTCAGTGTTGTTCACAACTTTCCTTTAACTCTCCACAGTGCAGCTTTTGCCTCCTCCGTGAAGTTTTTGTTGCCTGCTACCTTGCCCAAGAGGTGATCTTTCCTTTCTCTGAACTCCCATAGAACATTGTACCTCTCTATGTTACGTAAATTTTGTCTTATATTATACAGCATAACCCCCTTCTAGGTGGTTAGCTCCTTGGACAAGGGGTGTAGCCATTTTGTTGTCTGTGTCTAAGTGCCTAACATAACACATTGCATGTAAGCAGTTAATGAATGTTAAGTGGAACGAAAGTGGTCTTTAATTAAATTCTGGTAGAAAGAGCAAGTGATTTGTTGTAGAGTAGTAAGTGGGTTAGGATACGCAGTTTTATCCCTCACTTTATTACTAAGGCTACCTGGGTAAGTTACTTAACTTCTTTATGTTCTGGCATTGCCAGAGAGAGAAAATGTTTTGTTTTGTTTTTTTCCATCTACCTTTAGAAGAAGTGATGAGAATAAATTAGAAAGCCTAATAAATTAGAAGGCTGGGTGTGGTGGTGCCTACCTGCTACTTGAGAGGCTGTTACAGGAGAATTGCTTGAGTCTGGGAGTTCAAGGCTAGTCTGGGCAACATAGTGAGACCCTGACTCAATAAAAAGGTAGAACTTTTACATGCACTGGTATCAAAATTTGCATTTAAAAGGACACTAAAGAATCCATATTTTGCAGTTGCCTTTTAGGGGAGAGTGTTTTCTTATGAACCATCTTGATATTTGAGCATGACCTTTTAGAAGACGCTGGTCTAGAACTGTGCTATATGTTGGCCCTGGAGGTAGCTGTAATTCTCCTTGTTCCTTGCTTGTAAAGCTTTCTAGTGGTATTGAGAGATTACAAATTACTACATTTTTTTGACTTTGCATTCAAACCGCCTATTCATACTTTGCCCATTAATTTAACTATAGCCATTGAAGCTTTTCAATGGTAAATATATCAAGCTAGCTAAATACAGTCTGTATTTACAGGCTTGAAAAGCTAATTGGAGCCGGGCGCGGTGGCTTATGCCTGTAATCCCAGCACTTTGGGAGGCCGAGGCGGGCGGGTCATGAGGTCAGGAGATCGAGACCATCCTGGCTAACACGGTGAAACCCCGTCTCTACTAAAAATACAAAAAATTAGCCGGGCGTGGTGGCAGCACCTGTAGTCCCAGCTACTCGGGAGGCTGAGGCAGGAGAATGGTGTGAACCCGGGAGGCGGAGCTTGCATTGAGCCGAGATTGCACCACTGCACTCCAGCCTGGGCGACAGAGCCAGACTCCATCTCAAAAAAAAAAAAAAAAAGCTAATTGGAAACAGCAGCTTCCTATGAGGCATGAATAACATTGAAGAGAAGTGTAGTTTACAAAGGGTCAGGAGTATGACTACTCAGTCTAGCATGGCAATTATGTATGTAAATGAGTTAATTCAAAATTAGAGGACTCTCATTTCAGCTATTAGTGCCTCTTGAGCAATTTTCTGGAGTTCAAACAGGAATCGTGTGTATTGAAAGGCCTGTGTTTCCAAGGCCATTTTTACTAACATTTCTTTTCTTTTTTTTTTGTTTTGTTTTGTTTTGTTTTTTTGAGACGGAGTCTCGCTCTGTCGCCCAGGCTGGAGTGCAGTGGCGCGATCTCGGCTCACTGCAAGCTCCGCCTCCTGGGTTTACGCCATTCTCCTGCCTCAGCCTCCTGAGTAGCTGGGACTACAGGCGCCTGCCACCGCGCCCGACTAATTTTTTGTATTTTTAGTAGAGACGTGGTTTCACCGTGGTCTCGATCTCCTGACCTTGTGATCCGCCCGCCTCGGCCTCCCAAAGTGCTGGGATTACAGGCGTGAGCCACCGCGCCCGGCCTTTTACTAACATTTCAAAGGTGATTTCAGGAAAGGTCTAAGCTAGTTTATAGTATGTCCATTTCCTGTATAAACCATTTAATTTTAATGACTCTGCTTGTCTCACTGTTATGATAAATTTGTGTGGTAGATCGCAGCCTGTTAGCTATTACTGGAAGTTTTCTGGATTTATTATAGGCCTCTCAAATATGTAGTTTTTAACATTTTATTGGAACCCTCCCACCCCTTCCCAATTTCAACTATTAAATGCTTAAATTTGTTGTTTTGGTTGTGCAGAAGTTAGTTATCAGGTTATATGGTTCCCAGTGAGTGAGGAAATTGGGAAGGTTTTTTTTTTTTTTTTTTTTCAGTACTTGTTAACTAGAAACGGGTTTTGTGGTTTAGCTTAAGGGCTCCAACAGCTTGTTTGAGAAGACAGCTATGGAACTTGAGCTGTTTACATGTTTTTTAATACTGCAAGTGTATTAGGAAAATTGTAACAAGTCCTTCTCTTGTTCTTTAGGACTTAAGTGAGTTTAAAGAGATGACAACATGTGTTTTCCCCAGGTAAGCTTTCTTTGAGGATTTGTCTTTCATTTAAAAGAGTCAACTGGGCACAGTGGCTCACACCTATAATCCCACCCCTTTGGGAGACTGAGGTGGGAGGATCACTTGAGCCTAGGAGTTCAGAACCAGCCTGGGCAACATAGTGAAACCACATCTCTACAAAAAATAAAAAAATTAGCTGGGTGTGGTGGGATATGTGTGGTCCAGCTACTCAGGAGGCTGAGGTGGGTAAATTGCTTGAACCCAGGAGGTCCAGGCTGCAGTGAGCCATAATAGTGCCACTGTACTCCAGCCTGGGTGACAGAGTGAAATCCTGTCTCAAAAAAAAAAAAAAAAAAAAGTCATTGTGACATACATACCCAATGCAAATAGGTATATAGTAATTTGTTAAAACCATTAGATCATGTTCATATAAGCCTGGAGCTTACTTAATAGCTGCAATGTTGTGATGGCTTGCTTTTTATAATTTATGATTGGTTTTGTTATCGAAAAATCACAGTTTGAACTGAGAGTGAAAGTAGACAGAGACTCCTTTTTTCTTATCCCTCATCTTGCTTTCTGAAGAACTGGTGAAGCCTCTTTGAGATGGCTCTTGTCTGTCTTGTGTGTAGGATGTACCTTGTAACTATTGAAGTGTCCAATTGAGAGTGTTCAAGAGTCAGTCAAGTACTGTCTGTCTGGCTAGAGATTTTTTTTTTTCATCCACTTCAAGTCGGTGCCTTTTCCTGTTGGTGTTTTCCACAGTTAGTATTTCACCCTTGTTCTGATAGGTCACATGTCACATATGTCTCAGACATCACAGGTCAGCCATGTGGAGCTTACAGAACAAGTGTTTGTGTTTTAGGACCTGTTTGAAGAGGGATAGGCATGGTGTTCGAGCAGTTTCTCTTTCAGCTGGGCTTATTTCTGTCTTGTTACCCACACTCTGTTCACATTTATATGAAAAAAAAATAGAGAAATAGAGTTTTTGTGTGGGTTTCTCCCCACCCTCCCCTTTTGGTATTTCTGATCTCTGAAATAGAATAAGAAATAAAAACAACAGCATGAAACTACTTATTGCAGATTTTGGCCCTCCAGAAGAATTTATAGTTTACAAACCTGAGGAGTAGGAGTAGATGGTAGCAGTTTGGGAATGGTAGACCGGCAGCAGTATTTGAACCACGTAAAACCATATGGGAGTATTTGACTCACCCTTGAGTTCACCGGGCTCTCTCAGGATCCAGGTGAATCTAGAACTTGTACTCCAAGTGTGGACTCTCCTGCAGTTGCTCAATGAAGTTGCTGATGATGGGACTGAGTACCTACTCCAATGTAGCAGGGATGCTGGTGCTAGGTTCAAAATGACTGATGTGTTTAATTCCTTTGTCTGTGTTTAAGTATTTTATGTATTAAATATTTTATGTTTTAAGTATGTATTTTATGTATTAAGTATTTTAAGTAGCTTACATGTGTGAGTAAAAGACATTTTAAACATTGATACACATTTTGTTTACCTTGTTAAAAATTCTTTTTAGACTCTTGGATACTAAATTGATGGCCAGCACACAACCTTTTAAGGTATTATTCATTTGCTACTTTATAAAGTGATTGCATATTACTGAGTGAAATAAATGCCAGAACAATATTGCCTTCTGGCAGAAGGTTTGGAGGTATTTAATGCATCTGTAAAGATCTTCATTCATTTGGTTATACTTTGTATATTATAAAAATTAAACTAGCTGCTTCTCTTTCACATTGGAAAAAAACGAACACGAGGCAGTACTAGATGCTGCCTTTTCTTTGGGGGGGGGGTTAGTGAATCTCTTTAATATATTGTACTTAGATGATGAAATCTCATAATTCTTTGCTTCCTGGTTTGCAGGATATCATTAACAACACATCCCTTGCGGAATTGGAAAAGCGTTTAAAAGAGATACCTTTCAGCCCTCCTAAAGTTGGTGAGAATATTAAACAAACCTGAAACCTTCCAAACTCTTGGTAATAATTATTGATGTATATTGTAGAAGAAAAGCAGAATGGCTCTGGAAACCGTATTGTTCATTTATAGATTTTGGCTGAATTCACTTGGACATGTCTTGTGTAGAATTACTGTTTTTTGAATAAAGATGGTCTTTTAATTCCATATCTATTTTATGTTAATGGAGTTGAATAGCCATTCTTTGAGAATTTTAACAATTAAAGCTTCAAGGCTTTTATTTCCTAATGTATTGAATTCTCCTAAAACTTGATGTGCCCTTCTATTCTTTCATACATTATTTAAGTAGAGACAAAGAGCTAGTGATTAATCACCAGGGGTAGAGTAAAAAATATATTTTCCGTCTCAGAAAAGCCCAACAACTGGATTTACAGATGAGATTAAGGCAAGTCCCCACCCTGCCTCCTTTTCAGCTGGTTTCAGAGTGGAAACAGGAGCACTGAGGAAAACCAGAAGTAGGGAGATGAGATGGTGGTGTTTTGCCACCTCTAGCCACCAGCAAGGTGTGTGGAGAGCCTTCCAGGTGCTACTTCCTTGGTCCCTGTTAACCTGATTGTGCTGCTGATACGGTGATTAGCAAGCCATTACCTATAGCCTGAATAATAAAGACATGGATAATAGGACTAATGGTTTAGAAATTGATAATGCAAAGTATTAAAGCAGCCAAGATTACAGTTATTTGCCTCTTTCTGGGTAATAGTCCAAGAAAGGAATTAAGAAAAGTGGTGGTGGGGCCATTGGGGGAGAAAACCTAGACCTTTTCTATAACAATATAATGGAAATAATTGATTTTGGAAGGAACGTGTCTCCGTTGATGATGGAGCGGAAGATATTACTTAGGTGGCTACCATGTGAAAAGGCTTTTTTTTAAAGGCATCAAGTCTAATATTTAATACGGAGTTAAAGAATTCTTACTTAAAGAGCATTGTATTGACATAAAAACAGTTACAGTCTTTTCATTGTTAATTTCCATTTATGCTTTTTATTTCTGTGTTGTAGTAACCTTCATTTCCAGAATGGTTCTAGGATATAATTATTTATGAGTTAAAGTTTTATCTTATTTTTTCCATATGAAATAGTGGCATCTGGTACAAAATTCAGTCTAAAGCAGGTCATTCCTCTTAGAGTTTATCTGGTCACATCTGTATTTATCAATGTCACAAAAGAACCATATTATATATAAAGTGGTCTTTGCTGTAAAGTGGCTCCATGATCCAAGGCCAGCATTATAGCAAGTTCAATTTATTTTTGGAGTTGGTTATGCTGTCACCTTTTGATCTCTAAGCTTAGGAACATAGTAGAGGATAGTAGTGAGTTGGAGCTGTCGATATTGAATTGCAGTCTTCTGTTTTTTGGGGGGAGGGTTACCTCAGGTATTGATAGATAACAGTTTTTGAGCACTTGCTGTGTACCAAGCACTAGGTAAGAGTTTAACTTATACTATCTCATCTGATCCTAACAATAACCTTTTGAAGAAGATTTGATTATCATCTCCATTTTACAAAACTGGAAGCTTAGAGATGAAGTGACTTGCCCAACGTCATACAGCAAATAAGTGGCGGAGCAGAGGTTCGAACTCAGTGTGACTCCAGAGCCTGTGCTCTTAATCTTTACTCTGAATCGTCTGTTGTGTCCTGATGTGACCATCTTGTATAAGGGAAGAATATCCTTTTCATGGCCTTAGAAAGCAAGCAAAAGAGGAATAATTGTCCTAGAGCGAGTTATGGATGATCATAAATAGCACCCACCAGTGTGGGATGAGAAAGCCCACAGCTGAGTCCTTCGTAATGTAACTGAGGCGTTTCTGCATCCTAGATCAAAATCCTCCTTTTCAGTGACTCTGTTATCTTATATTTTAAGGTCTCGTATGGAGAGAATTAAGAAACAGATAGCTTTTTTTCTGCCTATTTAGGATATTTCTCTAGCATATACTAATGCAATTTGGATTGGTAGGGCAGTGTGCTTACTAGTCTTTGTTTTGAGGAAAACTTTTTCCTTTTTTTCTTAGAAAGTGCCGAAGGTTTTCCAAGTTATGACACAGCCTCTGAACAACTCCACGAGGCAGGCTACGATGCCTACATCACAGGGCTGTGCTTCATCTCCATGGCCAATTACCTAGGTACGCATTGCATGTGTTTCAGTCAAACACGCAGTGATCTAGGGTGGATCTTACCTGTCTCCTGGCTTAGGCTGCTGTAATAAATTACCGTAGACTGTGGGGCTTAAGCAACAGGCATTTATTTCTCATATTCTGGAGGCTGGGAAGTCCGAGACCCAGTTGCCAGCAGACCTAGTGTCTGGTGAGAGCCCATTTCCTGGTTTGCAGATGGCTGCCTTCTTATGTCCTTACATGGTGGAGAGTCGAGAGAGCAGAAGCTGTGCCAACTCTTCTTTAAGAGTCGGGGTCTCACTCTGTCACCCAGGCTGGAAGTACAGTGATACAATCGTAGCTTACTGCAACCCTGAACTCCTGGGCTCAAGAGATCCTCCCACCTTAGCCTCCCAAGTAGCCAGGATTACAGGTGTGCATCACCATGTCCGGCTAACTTTTTAATTTTTTTATAGAGACAGGGACTTGCTATGTTAACCAGGCTGGTCTAGAATTTCTGGGCTCAAGTGATCTTCCTACCTCAGCCTCCCAAAGTGCTGGAATTACAGGCTTGAGCCACTACACCCGGCCTCCTGACCCTTCTTATAAGGGCAGTAATTCTCTCATGACCTAATCACTTCCCAAAGGTTTCACTTCCAAACACCATCATATTGGGGATTAGGCTTCAACATATGAATTTTAGGGGGACACAAACATCGAACCTATAGCACTACCATTTCCTTGGGATCCACTCATCCAGTTAGAAGTGGGAGGGTTTTGAGGTAGGAGTGGGAGGAGATGAGGGGAGGGGGAAATCTGCAAGAAAAACCACTGACACTTCCTGTGGTACAATACTTGGTCCATAAGAACATCTTTCACAGGCCAGGTGCGGCGGCTCATGCCTGTAATCCCAGCACTTTGGGAAGCCGAGGTGGGTGGATCACCTGAGGTTAGGAGTTTGAGACCAGCGTGACCAATGTGGAGAAACCCTGTCTTCACTAAAAATACAAAATTAGCCAGGCATGGTGGCGCGTATCTGTAATCCTTGGTACTCAGGAGGCTGAGGCAGGAGAATCACTTGAACCCGGGAGGCGGAAGTTGCAGTGAGCCGAGATCACGCCATTGCACTCCAGCCTGGGCAACGAGTGAAACTCCGACTCAAAAAAAAAAAAGAGAATACCTCTCACCTTTGTTGAACCATGCTGTTAATTTAAATCTGTTTTGGTCTGAACTTTCAGGCGTTGTCTATGTGACTATGAATAATAATGCCTCTCTTCTTTTCTTCATTAGGTTCTTTTCTCAGCCCTCCAAAAATTCATGTGTCTGCCAGATCAAAACTCATCGAACCTTTTTTTAACAAGTAAGTAATCAGAGAGTTCCAGTTCCCAAGTTCTGTCATTGTCGAACAGCCTCATATTTTGGGATGTCAGTTTGGAGTTATTGGGAGCTATAGCACATTTTTAGATAAAATATTTTTCATCTCGAGTGACTCAGATGTTTTTTGAAAGTAGAAATTGACCTTTTGGGGAACAAATGTATTAAAAATACAGGCTTAAAAAAAAAAGAGAGAACATTGCTAGATGTACTGCATCTCTTCCAAGGAAAAGAACTGGTAGTTCTGGCATTTAAATTTCCTATGAGGGACTGGGCGCGGTGGCTCACGCCTGTAATCCCAGCACTTTGGGAGGTTGAGGTGGGCAGATCACTTGAGGTCAGGAGTTCGAGGCCAACCTGGCCATATGGTGAAACCTCGTCTCTATTAAAAATACAAAAATTAGCCAGGTGTGGTGGCGAGTGCCTGTAATCCCAGCTACTTGGGAAGCTGAGGTGGGAGAATTGCTTCAACCCGGGAGGCAGAGGTTGCAGTGAGCTGAGATTGCGCCACTGCACTCCAGCCTGGGCAACAGAGCAAAACTCTGTCTCAAAAAAAAAAAAAAAATTTCCTATGAAGTAGATGTTTATGTATGGTGCCACCCAACCCCTAACAAATTTGACAGGTGAGATGATTATTTATGCTTGCATTATTATCTGATTGAATAATATTGTGTCTAAGAAGGTGTTGGTTCTATAAATGGTTTTTAAGAAATCCGCGAAGTTTTGGCCTGGGCGCTGTGGCTCATGCCTGTAATCCCAGGAGTTTGGGAGGCCGAGGTTCGCGGATCACTTGAGGCCAGGAATTTGAGACCAGCCTGGCCAATGTGGTGAAACCCTGTCTCTACTGAAAATACAAAAACTAGCTGGGTATGGTGGCAGGCACCTGTAATCCCAGCTACTTGGGAGGCTGAGGCAGGACAATAGATTGAACCCAGGAGGCAGAAGTTGCAGTGAACCATGATCGCACCACTGCACTCCTGCCTTGGGTGACAGAGTGAGACCCCATCTCAAAAAGAAAAAAAAAAAAAAAGGAATCCGTGAAGTTTTGATTGCGATTACATCCTGAGCCCTCATCTGAATGGACTTAATGAAGTAAAGGCTTGCTCTTGTATCCTCATTGTTGTAAGCAGTTAGAGTGATTAAACAATCTCAAGGTTGTTACTTCAAAGTGTGTTTTGTGCTTGCTTAGCAAAGCTGAGACTGAAGTTAAGGATGTGATCCTTGAGCAGACTACAGTTTGGTTCTGTGCCAGAACCCTAAAGCATCATCTTTCCCTGAGCTCTAAGGCAGGGTTTGTTCTAGAGGTTCTGCACAAGCCAGACACAGAACAAGGCAGCCCATGACTATCAGCAACACCAAAAGAAATCACTATTTCAGTGTTGTGTTGGTTACATCATTTCCTTACATTCTGTGCAGTTGTTAACAGTCCTATCATTGCTTTGCTGGGTGAGAATACTGTACTGTCTCCTTCAGATGTCTGTATAAATGCTTGTGCTTAGGTGGCGTGCTGCAGACACCCATGTCAGTTCTAAACATCTGGATTCCTGAGGTGCTGAGTTGTTGTCTGAGTTTGTGAATTTTATCATATTATGCCTTCTAATTTTTTTTAAATCTTTTTTCTTGTTTTCTGTGAAAGTTCAGAGATAAATGTATATGTCTTTCATATACATTGAACTCAGTAACAGTATAGTGTATATTGGAAATTAAGGCGAATTTTTCTGTGTGGAAAATTAATTCTGCTAACCACAAGTCCTTGCTGTTTCTAGTTCCTTAAGAGTAAAACATGATTTTCTTAGCTCTTTTATTTTTGGGGGCAGTGTTTGTCTTTGGAAATGTAGCCTATGCCATAGATCATGGAACCCACAGGTGATGTTAAATATAGTTTTTTGGTTTTTTTTTTTTGAGATGGAGTCTCACTGTGTCACCCAGGCTGGAGTGTGGAGTGCAGTGGCACAATCTCAGCTCACTGCAATATCTGCCCCCTGGGTTCAAGCAATCCTGCCACAGCCTCTGGAGTAGCTGGAACTACAGGCATATACTACCACACCTGGCTAATTTTTATATTTTTAGTAGAGATGGGGTTTCACCATTCTGAATAGGCTGCTCTCGAACTCCCTACCTCAGGTTATCTGTCTGCCTCAGCCTCCCAAAGTGCTGGGATTACAGGTGTGAACCACTGTGGCCAGCTAAATATAGGTCTGATTATGATTGTTCCTTACGTTTTTATGTACTTGATGTTAAAGTCATTGTTCTGCAGCATTTTTCAACTGAGAGATGTTGACTCATTTGTATTATTATTATCATTATTATTATTATTATTTTGAGGCAGGGTCTTGCTCTTTTGCCCAGGCTGGAGCACAGTGGCATGATCTCAGCTCACTGCAGCCTCCACCTCCTGAGCTCAAGTGATCCTTCCACCTCAGTCTCCTGAGTAGTCATTTGTAAATATTTACACAGTGTAAATATTAAAACAGTGATCCTGCTTCTCCACTAAGGTCAGCTCCTTATAAAATCAGATGTTGGATGCAAACTGGGTTAGATGTGGGCTGCATCTAGTTTATCAGTCATGTGTGTGACCAACATTCAGAGCAATCAAAATAAACTTTGATTTAAAAACTTAGCTGGCTGGGTATGGTGGCTCACGCCTGTAATCCCAGCACTTTAGGAGACCAAGGCGGGCAGATCACTTGAGGTCAGGAGTTCGAGACTAGCCTGGCCAGCATGGTGAAACCCAGTCTGTACTAAAAGTACAAAAATTAGCCTGTATTCCCAGCTACTTGGGAGGCTGAGGCAGGAGAATCGCTTGAAACCAGGAGGCGGAAGCTGCAGTGAGCCAAGATCACACCACTACACTCCAGCCTGGGCAACAGAGTGAGACTCCCTCTCAAAAAAAAGGAAAAAAAATGCTAACTGAGACTTTCTGTATTTGTTGATCAATCTAATATTGCTAATACTGTGCAGGACTATTACCAAAAAGAACTAGACAGTAAATACATAGCTTTATTTTAAATTGGGAAATCTGTCCATTCAGAATTTTTTTGCCAAAACCTAGATGCATACCAAGAATAGCTGAATAGGAGGTGGGATTTGGGAATCCTTCTGTGATTTTTTGGTCTATTTTTTTCCAATCTGTAAAGGAAGACTATTTCTTCATCACTGAAGGAAAAATATTCCTGCGAGATTTGAAATAAAATAAGAACTGTTTTTATTACTTTTTTTTTTTTTTTTTTTTTTTTTGTGAGACAGAGTCTCACTCTGTCACCCAGGCTGTAGTGCAGTGGTGCGATCTCAGCTCACTGCAACCTCCACCTCCTAGGTTCAGGTGATTCTTCTGCCTCAGCCTCCTGAGTAGCTGGGACTACAGGCTTGCACCACCACACCCTGCTAATTTTTGTATTTTTAGTAGAGACAGGGTTTCACCATGTTGGCGAGGCTGGTCTCAAACTCCTGACCTCAGGTGATCCACCTGCCTCGGCCTCCCAAAGTGCTGAGATTACAGGTGTGAGCCACCATACTTGGCCTGTTTTTATTATTATTTATTGGAATAACTTGGTTAAGTATAGGCATTCATTCTTAACCCACTTAGAAAGCGGGTTTTATGGCCAGATGCATTGGCCCATGTCTGTAATTCCAGCACTTTGGGAGGCCGAGGTGGGCGGATCACCTGAGGTCAGGAGTTCGAGACCAGCCTGGCCAACATGGCGAAACCCAGTCTGTACTAAAAATTCAAAAATTAGCTGGGCATGGTGACGGTGTCTGTATTCCCAGCTACTGGGGAGGCTGAGGCAGGAGAATTGCTTGAACCCAGGAGGCAGAGGTTGCAGTGAGCCGAGATCATGCCACTGCATTCCATCCTGGGCAACAAGAGTGAGACTCCATCTCAAAAATAAATACATAAGCAAGTAAGTAAGTAAAGTGAGTTTTCTGGACCGGGTGCAGTGACTCATGCCTGTAATCCCACTACTTTGGGAAGGTGAGAGAGGAGGGTTGCTTGAGCCCAGGAGTTTGAGAGCAGCCTGGACAATGTGGCAAAACCCCATCTCTACAAAAAATACAAAAATTAGCTGGATGTCGGGGGTGTACACACATGTAGTCCCAGCTACTCGGGAGGCCGAGGCAGGAGGATCACTTGAGTCTGGGAACAGGAGACCAAAAAGAAAAAAGGAAAAACAATTGCTTCTTTTGACATCTCTTTCTGTGTTAATATTGACCTTGTTTTTACTTACTTGCAGGTGATTTAGGATATTCAACCTTGCTTTTTGTCATTTTTCATGGTTACCCTTGTAGGAAAACATTCGGTAGTTGCCCCCAACATTATCTCAAGCTGATGATTTTAGAAAAATATGCAAGATTTTCTGAAGATTAATTTATTTTGACACCACACTTTTCTAAATGTAACCTTTACCAAACATGCATACTCATAACATAAATTTGGGTGGACATTAAACTGCCCACATATACAAATCATATATTATTTTGCTCTCACTAGACTTAACATTTAAAAAGTAAACCTCGAGGGGAAGTAAACTTCACTTATTTCTGCGTTATTCTAAATTAACATTTAGTAGCATCAGTTATGCCATTTTGGGAAGCTTTATCAAGTCAACTATTGAGGAAATCCTGAGAACACTGTTGCTTAATCAGTATGCAAAGACTGAATGTGATATGAGGTGTTTTTATAAGCCATACTGGTCTAGAAGAATGTCCAATGAGGGTTTTGTGTGGTGCCATTTTGTCTTTTTCATGGCCTGGGCACCTCCCATAGTCCTCTTTGCTTTTTTGGAATCAGGAGGAAAGTCATGAGAGAATTGAGCCTTGGAAATGAGGATTACGCCACTGCTAATGACAGCCTGTGTGGAATACACTCTTTGTTTATATTGGAGGCTCTCTCGTCAGGAAATGATTTACGTCCTTTTATAACCTTGGTCAGTTTTAATCAATGCATTGAAAACCAGATTTAATGTTAAGATCCTTTGGTCAAATCCA